CTTCCGCGCAGCTTTGATTATGTTTCTTTCCTAGTTTTCAATCTTATCTGTCAGGGCCCAGCAGGCACAAGAGCAAGCAGGAGAAATGGTGGCCACACAGACCGATGGCACGTCTGTACCACTCAACTCTCACATGCCCTTGACAGAGACTGCTAGTACGGAGAGGAACCCTTTCAAGATATGAACCTGTTTGCAGTTTTAATGTTTTTCTGAAAAAGCATGGAATGGTTTCTATGTTTCACTGTCTTTTAGTTCATTGTTTTCAAATGGGCCATTTCCACCCTCTCATTTAGAGATATGTTCAAAAGGTAGAAGTGATCACAGGATACCTATAGTAAAGGAGAACCAAGAAGGTCAAATACATTTGGACATCACAGTTTGTTTGTTTTTGAGGGTTTTTTGCTATAGGGCACGTGTGCTCGCCAGAAAGACAGACAGAAATCACCCCCTGGGGGAGGAGGGATGTCCATGCCGCAATCCCTTCTCCTCCATTCTCCTCTTGGGATCTTGGGCACGCACACTCATGCACCTGACGTGAGGTTTAAGCCACCGGGTCCAGCACTCAAACCGCGTTCGACTACATGGGAGTCCAGTGACATAGTCATTACGCCAACTGCTGGTCCCTGGACGTCACAGTTTATCCCATAGTATCTTACAGTGTAATTGACAGCAACTCGTGTAGCAAAAGTTGCTAGTTTTGTCTGATTTTCTGCATCGCCACAATGATTAATTCATGAGTTAATGTGAAAGATACTGAGTATTTTCCACAGATTCTATGAAATGTATTTATATAGTATTAATCAATAGGAAGGATCAAGGCCTTTCTAAGTAATTTGGATTAATTACTTATATTTTCATCTATGTGAGTGGCAAATCTCAGAATAAAAGTATAAATGGACAAGTTAGCAGGCCTGGACCCAGGACGAGTAGTAATGGTTCTCTGAAGTGAATTCCTCCCCCTCCTTGTTTCTATGTACTCGGTGCAGATGGTTCTCCTACCCCCAATTTATGGTGGTTAGACTGACGATCTTTTGATTTTATGATGGTGTAAAAGTGACATCACGTTCAGTAGAAACCAAACTTTGAGTACCCATTAAACCATCCTGTTTTTCATTTTTTAGTACAGTATTTAATTGATTGCATGACCTATATTCAATGCTTTATCATAAAATAGCTTTTGTGCTAGATGATTTTGCTAAACTGCAGGCTAGCCTAACCTATGATGTTCGGTAGGTTAGGTGTACTAATGCATTTTTGACTTAACATTTTCAGCTTTCAGTGGGTTTTCAGGACATAATCCCCTATTAAGTTGAAGATCATGTGTATATTCAAGGTCCTTTGACACTCCTAGACCTGCTACCCAGGTCTTACTCCCCGGCTCTAGGCATACTTCTCCACTCTACTCTCTTTCTGTCAAGGACGGATTTACTTAACCCATAATCATCACTGTTGATAGGTAAAATTAGGCACATTAAAATCTAAAAAGTTTATTTGAGCAAATAGAGGCTCACGAATTGGGCAACTTCAGATCACACATAAGTGGTTCACGGCTCCACTGGGAGAGTGCCAAAGAAAGACAAATACTTGGTTGGATAAAATGGAAAGTCCCCAATTAGAGGTTAGTTGGAGGTTTCCGATCAGCTAAGCTAATCTAAATCGGGTTTTGGTTTGCTTTCTTAGGAATCTAGAATGCCAGAGGTGTCTCAGCCTGATGGTCTCCCAATTAATTCTTTTAACATTACTAAGGACTGATAGGCAACCCAATGTGTTACCTCTCCCAGAAGAAAATGGCAAGTGGGGCCCCCTGTTGGCATGGTAGTTACAGTGGCTGGATCTCACATGGTCAACTGCAGTTCAAACCCCAGACCTGTTGACTTGAGAATCACACTGGGCATGAGTGCATGTGTGCCCAAAATCCTAACAGGGGAGTAGAAGAGAAGAGATTGCAGTGTGACATCCCACTGGGGTTTCTTTCTCACTTTCTCTGTTTCTCTCTTTAGGGTGAGCAGACATGCCCTCTAATACTAATTTTAAAAAGAAACAAAAAGGAATTTGTAGGATTGAAGGCATTCAACGCATTGAGTGTACATTGTGGACATTTAGGCACTAACAAGAGGCAGGTGGAAAAGACTTCTGTGAGTAGGATGTGGGGGGGGGGGGGGAACTACTGACACGTGGTCTCTTTGATTTCAGCATGGACGAATCCTACACTACAGTAATCCATTCATCCTCTTCCTGTTCCTGACGGTTTTCTCCACTGCTACAATCATGCAGTGCTTCCTGCTCAGCACCTTCTTCTCCAAGGCCAGCCTGGCAGCAGCCTGCAGCGGTGTCATCTACTTCACACTCTACCTGCCGCATATCCTGTGCTTTGCCTGGCAGGACCGGATGACGGCTGAGCTGAAGCAGGCCGTGGTGAGGGCCTGGGGTTTCCTCTGCAGGGTCTGCCTGCCCTCTGAGGAAGTCCACTCTGCCTTTTGGTTCAAAGGGTCATATGGTTAAAAGGTTAACATCAGGTTAAAAGGCGCAGTGGCAAGGGGGAGTGGTCTTCATCCTAAGGATCCAACAGTTACTCCTCACTCACCTGCTTGATTAATCTGCCCTGAGAAGTCATTGAAAAACCAGCTCAACTCATGGATCTTTTTTGTTTATCCACAAGAGAAGAAGCAGGCGACTTGTGCTCAGTTTCCTTTTCCTACTATTTGAAGAGTCAGAAAGGAGGAGCTTGCCCCATGACTGAATGTCAAGATGTTTCCATTAATTAAAAGCTTTTGTTTCACTTCAAAAGAGCTTGAGTCAGAGAAGTCCTGCAAGTGTCTTTTACATGCTCTACCAGTGCACGCATAAAGGTTGCAGAAACGAGTTTGCTCAGTCAGGCTCTCTGGCCACAAAGGGACTCTGGAAATTGACTTTTGATTGCGTGAGAGACCTCTTAGTGCCAGATTCCCAAACTAATGGTGCTGTCTTTTAGCTAATTGTTTTCAAATGGGCCATTTCCACCCTCTCATTAACCCAGACTCATCAGCCTCAGGTCCTGGAGGGCGTAGTTTTCCTTGTCCTCCAGAATCGCCCTGTCCCTATGTTATGAAGTCAAGAATGGACTACCACCTTCCTCTCATTGGGGAAAGACCTGACTCGTTCTCACGACTCAAACTTGGCTCCAAAGCTGCCAGGGCATATGCATTTTATTTCTCATGTTAAATAAGAAATTAATTGCTGCCATTTATTTTAAGCACCCAGTTTTCTAAAAGGATCACAATAGGTAGTGGTAAGAAATCCTTATGACTCAGCCTGTGGGCAGAGCTGGGCTATTTTAGTAATCACTGGGTAGACGGATGGTTCTTTGAGGACACAGCTAGCTCGCTGGGTATGTGGAACCACCAAGGAACTTTGTAAGTCTGGCAGTTTTGTGGACCAGGTCTAGACTGGGGCCAGGATTTGAACTGTGGTCATGGTATCTAGCTTCCTTAACCACTAGGCTATGGGGCAGATCCAGTCTGAGATTTTTTTTTTTTTAACGTAGTGGTCATTGAGAGGTTATGAGAGCATCTCCTACCTACCCCCCAAACCTGGCCTAGGAAACTGACACTGTGGTAGTCCCTTCAACTGGAAGTCTCTCACAAAGCAGCTCAAGTTAGCTTCTTTGTTCTGCTCAGAACTGAGTTATCTTAAGAAAGAGGTAGAGGCCCAGCATGGTGGTACAGGCAGTAGCATACTGATCTACAGTGCTGGAAGCCATGTGGCCAACTGCAGTTTCAGAGCCCAAGTCACCCTGAAGCATACCAGGTGCACGTATACCCAAGATCCTGATTAGCTGGAGGGCCGGAAGGAGTTCTCAGTCTGAGGAGACCCTGTCAAAGGTGTCTGTCACTCTCTAGTACTCTCTTATGCAAAAGGAGGAAAACAAACTTTAAAAAAAATAAATAAAGAGGTAGGAAGAAGGGAAAAGGTAGGAAGGAAAACATAAGAACCTTTGGTCCTTTGGTGTGTTATACTACGTGGTGTTTGTCATCCCCATCACATTGAACAGATGAGACACTTCCAGTGAGTATTGGGCAGGGGTCCTGAGGACTGAGAGGCATTCCCAGAGTTCTCTAGTTGTGGGAAGGCTGCCTGAACCCTTCTCTGAGGTGGCCTCCTCCCTACCCTGTGGGCCTCTGGGTACTATTTGGTCAGACAAAAGACCCTCTGCTTATCCTCTGTGTCCTCCTTGCCCCCTGCAGAGCCTGCTGTCGCCTGTGGCATTTGGGTTTGGCACTGAGTACCTGGTTCGCTTTGAGGAGCAAGGCCTGGGGCTGCAGTGGACCAACATCGGGAGCAGTCCCATGGAAGGTGACGACTTCAGTTTCCTGATGTCCATGAAGATGATGCTCTTCGATGCTGCTCTGTACGGCTTGCTTGCTTGGTACCTTGACCAGGTGTTTCCAGGTAAGTGCCTCCCTCCTTGGGATACAGGATTCTTTAGATTCCCAGTCCTTTCCCATTTATCTTTTAGTTTGTACTCTCAGAACCACCATTTGAAATTTAAATCTAGAAGTCAAAAGCTATGAAAAAAATCCTGCTGGCTCTAAAAGCTAATCCCAAATCTGACCTCCTCACCACCTCTACTACCTTCCCTGTCTAAACCCCCTTCACCATTACCCCTACTGGCCTGTTCACCGCACTGTGTGCAGAACCTTCCTGAATCTATGTCAAATGGTGTCAGTCCTCCTGTTCAAATGTCTCCAACGGAGTTTCCTCCCATCCAGAGTAAAACCCAGCGTTCCAACCCTGGCCTACAAGATGCTTCATGATCTGGCTTCCAGCTATCTTCTCCAGCTCATGTCTTTTCTTCTCCACACAAGTCCCTGCTCTAGCCGCATGGCCTCGTACTTCCCAAGTACGTCTTTCTTCAGGGCCTTGGCGCCTGCTGTTCTTGCTGCAGGAGTATGTTTCTGTGCCATCCCACCCAGGCTTCAGGCTTACTTCCTCCCTTTGTTCGAATATCTCCTTATTGCTGGGATCTTTCCAGGCTGAAGATTCCAGGTATCTATCACTATATAAAAACACCTCCTGTCCCCTTACCCTGCTTTATTTTTGGAAACATCTATCACCATCTGACATGAGGTATCTTCATTTATTGACTCAGTACCTTTGGTAACGTGAGCCCCTAAGAGTAGGCACATGGCCTATTTGTTACTGTGATAGTCCCAGTGCCCAGAATAGTGCCTGACATTAGGTGGACCTTGACCATATATCTAACTAATCTGCAGCATGGAAATCAGTCCTTGAATCAAAATTGGCTATTTGCACAGTTTTATGTTTACTTTTGTAGGAAATAATGTTTTCCTTCAAATTAGCATTCCCTGTTAATTAGATAAGTTCCGTCTCCATTCAAATGGTCTCTGAGCCACCTAGTAATCTCCCTATGCTATGATGGTTGGGCCTGGTCCTTGATGCTGTGGCCAAGAACAGGCAGAGGAGAAGGAGGCTGGACTGGGTCCCTGAGAGGGACACACTCATGACTCTCAGATCATCTCGGGGCAGCCTTGGTTGGCAGAAATAAATAGGCAGCAACTTCATATAGAAGAAAGATCACTAGACTGAGCCAGGATGCCCGTGTTTGAATCCTAACTGCATGAGTGTATTCCTTTCCTAGGACTAACCACAACCAAGTGACTTAAAACAGTAGAAGTTTATATCTCACAGTTATGAGGGTTAAAGCCTAAGTCCAAGGTTTTGGCAGAGCCATCCTTCCTCTGAAACCTTTAGAAAAAGGATCCAACCTTGCTTCATTCCAGCTTCCAGTAGTTTTGTGGCGGTCGGGCATTCCTTGGCTTGTGTTGCATAGATGCATCACTCCAATCCTCATGGACACATGGCATTCTCTGAGTGTGTAACTGTCTTTTTTTTTTTTTTTAAGAGGTTTTTGCATGTGCCCGCCAGAAAATGGAGAGAAAGCGAGAAATCACCCCCGGCCTCCGGGGGGGGGGGGGGGGGGGCACAATCCCTTCTCCTCCATTCTTCCCTCGGGATCTTGGGCACACACACACATGTGCCTCGTGTGAGTTTAAGCCACCAGGTCCAGGACTAGAACCAAGGTCGACTACATGGGAGTCCAGCGACAGAGCCATTACGCCATATGCTGATCCCAGTGTGTATCTTCTTTACATGGTTGTCTTCTTACAAAAACACCAGTTGTATTGGGTTAGGGGCCCACCCTACTTCATCTCATCTTAACCAATCATATATGCAATGACCCTTTTCCAAACAAGGCCACCTTCTGGGTTAGGATCCTCATGGATTTTTTTCTCCGTAACCACTACGCCATGGGTCTAGTCCCCTACACTACTTCTGATGCTAGATGTGTTTTCTTCTGACGCCAATTAATTCTATGACATCAGCGGGGTGTCGGTTCAGTTTTGACACTATTGAGAAGTATTCCAGCCTCCAGGCTCAGTCCCATAAGACACTCCCACTTCAAATGGTGGTGTCCAGCCTCCCCATACTTCTGTCCAGTCATCTACAAATTTGGGGGCTCCACGTCCCTCCCACCAGTTCAATAATTAGCTAGGATGACTGATGGAACTTAGAAAAGTACTCTACTTACAATCACAGTTTTATAGAAAAGGACACAAATCGAAAAGAGCCAAAGGCAAGAGATGACTAGGGTGTTTCCATTCCCTCTCTGGCCGCTCCCTTTCCCCAGCACTTTGATGTGTTTACTTAACCTGGAAGGGTTCTGCTTCTTATTGTTCAAGAGTTGTTATAACCCAATCTCCAGCCGTGCCCACCCCCCACCCCCTGCAGGTTAGAGGTTGAGGAAAAAGATTCTTCTCTTCTCTTTGTATGTTTGGTCTTTCTGGTAACCAGTCCTCAGAGGGGGCCCTAATAATGTCCCTGCCCCATGTGCCTTATTAACATAAATTTAGGCATGGTGGTTGAAAGGGGCCCATTATAAGTAATAAAAAATGCTCCAGGGACCAGCAGATGACATAATGATTACGTTGCTGGACTCCCATGTAATCAATCACAGTTCAAATCCCGGACCCAGTAGCTTAAATACACACCAGGCATGTGTGTGTGCATGCCCAAAATCCTGAGAGGGGAATAGAGGAGAAGGGATTGTGGTGTGGCCATCCAGCCAGGGAGTGATTTCTCGCTTTCTGTCTCTCTGGCAAGGGCACACGACCTATAGCAAAGCAAAGCAAAACAAAACAAAACAAAAAACTCTCTTAAAAAGAAAAAAGCTCCTATCACTCAGGAAATTGCAAGTATTGTGAGAGATCTGTGCCCTGTACAAGAACTGGGAATAAGGATCAAGCATATTTTATGTTATATCAAAAGACCAGGCATATTTCGTGTTGTAACACAGACCCAAACACATGTTTTTTAGAGGGAACATAATTCAACCCAGCGGCATGGGTGGGAGCAGGACACTTGAACTTGCTCGAATTTTTTCTATCTCACCAAGTCATTGAAAAGAGATACAATAAGTAAAAAATTAGTTGTATTAAAATTGAAATTGAGCATAATCCTAGAGCTTTATTTCAGCCAAGCAAAAGCTTTCATTTGTACATCAATTATTTGCTGAGCAGCACCTGTGAGTAAGGCTCAGTAGGTCCGGGTTCAGGGATAGAGTGGTAAAAGTGATGGGCCCAGGCCTGCCTCACTCGAGGACAGTCTAGTGGTTTCATGCCAGCTCCCTCAGGGCAGGGCTGGATCTATCTTTCCTACTACCCAATCCCAGAGGTGTCATGAAATATGTGACAACCATTAAAAAAGCAGATAGTGTTTGCCAAAATCAAGACTGCAGGGAACAAAATTTGCTAAGAGAACTACACCAGAAATATTGGAGTCTTTCTTGTAGCCCAGATGGATCCAGTAAAATGGGTTAGGACGGTCAAGTGGGGAGGGTGGACTGTTAAGAATAGTGATATTATGGGACCAGCAGATGGCATAGTGGTTATGTCGCTGGACTCCCATATGGCTGACCATGGTTTGAGTCCTGGACCTGGCAGCTTGAAACTCAAGCAGGCCGCATATGCATATGTGCCTGAAATCCTGAGCGGAAAATGGAAGAGAAGGGATCGCAGCGTGTCCATCCCCTCAGGGACTGATTTCTCGCTTTCTGTCTCTCTTTTTCTCTCTCTCTGTTTCTCCAGCGAGCACATGTGCCCTATAGCCATATTAAAAAAAAAAATAGTGATATTAGAACCAGAATAATTGATAATTGTGTTGGAATTCTACATTTCTATGATTAATTAGCTGTGATCTAGGGCAGATGGTTCAAACTCTGGATGCCTCCCGTTTTTTATCCACAAGAAAAGTATTACTACCTATCTCCTAGAGTTATTTTGAATATTAAATTAATTAACACATGGCAAGTGCTTACAGCAATGCCCACCACAGAAAGAGTATCCAACAAATATTAGTGTTTATCATCCTTACTATTATCTGGCAATTAGTGAAAATGGACATTATTTAATTATTGACTGAAATGTTTTCTTGGCAACCTAATGTCAACCAAGATATTCTACCTCAGGAGTGCTGATAACACAAAAATATGACCTTTTGGGTTAAAACATTGAAAGAAGTAGTCTTTATGGATAGCCGTTTAATGGTTTCTGAACTATAAATATCTGTAATTACTCTTTGAGGTCCAGCTAGATAAGATTTAGATCTTATAGAATCATGGCAAGGAGACACAGAGAAACTACTTAGGCTTTGTCTCTTTATTTGCCTATTTTTAGGGGACTATGGAACCCCACTTCCTTGGTTCTTCTTTCTACAAGAGTCTTATTGGCTTGGAGGTGAAGGTGAGTTATTAAGTATTGAATTTTTAAAAACTTAATGCTAAAAACTAGCTCCCTGGGCCATGCACAGGAGGTGTGTGGGTTGCAGAGGTGACCTTTCACATCGTGTGATTGCTGATAAGGCAGCTGCCCCCTGGAGGCTCTGCCCCTGCAATGCAGCATCACAGACTCCGGGAACCCCCTTGTCTTAAGGGTCAGAGGGAGTAGCTGAGAATTGATAAACTCTTGTGTCCTGCATAGCTTGTCCCGATGGATTATGTCACCCTACTAAAAGAATGTCACACCACTTCAGGGTTCAAATTACTTTTGCAAGTTTTTCATTTAGCAGAGATCCAGGGAATCGAAAACGAGCCTTTGCATCTGTCTCCTGCTGTCTCTTCTTGTCTTTTGAGTCCTCTCCAGTTTTTCAAAATAAAAATTAATTCATTCTCCCAAGATGAGGTCTCATCCAGAGACTGAGAAAGAACTATTGATCATCAAGGCAGATACTCTCAACTCTTCTGGTATTAATCTTTCTTGTGATTGAAGAAGGCTACAAGGGCATTTGCCCACCATGCACTTAGGTAAAATTTACCTTTCCTACTGAAAAAAAGAGGAAGCCTGACGTTTGAGAAATGAGGATAAGCACAGACTCTTTTTGAGGTCTGAGGGAGTCAAAATTCTGGAGCTAAGAGCTAGGGACTCCCCTAGAGTTCAGAGGTTCTAGAAGCAACAGAAATTAACGTTCCAAGCTGTTGTTCGCCTACCCCCTTTTTGCTTAATATTATTGGTCCTGCACCAGGATTTACCCTTTGAGCACTAAGACAGATTTTTCTTTCTCTAGGAGTTTAGTCTAGAGGTCTTAAAAGACTTGGGCCAGGTTTCTTTGTTTTTGTTTTTAATGGTTGAAACAAGTAGCACTTCAACAGCTACGTTCTTTTTTTTTTTTTTTTCCATTATATTGGTTTGTCCATCTTGTCTCTCTGTAACTTTAAAACTTCTACTATAATGAAATTGTAATCCCATCATAAATGGAAAATTTCAGCCCAGGAGTGTGTTCCTGAGTGCTTTTAATGTCAAAGCAGATACTTGCATATAAGACTTGTAGGCCTTTTTCTCTGTTTACAATCCCAACAGACATTCTGCCTCTTGAGGAAAAAAAAAAAAAAAGACAAATGTGTCCCTTCAAAAGTGAATCACATATATTTTTGCTAACAGAGCCACATTTTTTTCACCTTTCTCATGGGCTAGACTGAAAGAGATTCCTAAAATTCTCTAAAGTCAGAGAAGACTGAGTTTCTTCTCCTAACCCCTTCCTTTCACTGATGAAATAAATGGACCCAAGAGACATCCAATACCTTGTCCAAGTTTCCACTGGTCCCTTGGGACAACATCTGGAACTCAGACACAGATTTCCTGGCAAGGAGCTCACTCCAATGGCTCAATTCTTCAGAGGGATATTTCCCTTGCTATTTTATTACACATTAGTGCAGTATGATAACTAATAAAGCGATCCAAGGAATTGTGGGGGAATCATGCAAACATCCTGTAGGGAGCAGAAAAAGAAGTAGTAGAGGTGGCACACAGCTGGTCACCAGGCCCATTACCTGCTGTTGCAAGTACTCCTGCAAACCTATAGGGGGCGGCATGGACGGAAAGCCCCGGCTGGCTGCTGCTCTAATACCCGCCCTGTTCACGGATGTGCACTTGAGGCCAAGAGCCCTTAGCTGCTTGGCAACAGTGGTTCCCTCCTGGCCCTACTTTCCTGTCTGGCTGGCTGGTCCAGCTTCTTTTCCCCTTCCAGGATGTCTTAATATCCTTTTAAACCAAATGCCAAATTTACAAAAAAAAAAAAAAAAAAGTGTTGGGGACGGCGTGATTTTACACTACACTTCGCAGTTGGTCTAAGCCGGTACCTCTACTAGGCTGCACCCTGGTGTTAATTCTAGATACCTGAATGCCCACATAGGTGGATTTCTCAGGGAAGCCATTTCTCAAGCTGTATGTTATTGATAAGCTGGTTGCCATCAGACCACCTCGAATGGACTTTGACATATCTGGATTGGAATGAAAAGCACCAGTGATGGACTGAAACACACCCATTGCAAATCCAGTCTTGGTTTCGTTACTCTGTTTTTGTGCATCACGGTCTCTGCCATGGAGGGCCCCGCCTGGCACGTAAGAGGATGAGGTGAAATTCTCCAGGTCTGAAATTCTGGCTACAAAACTCCCTCTGGGCTTGGCAGTGATGCACAATCGTGCTTGGATACTTCACAGACCAGCCACAGGTCACAGGATGGGGGCCCTCTGGATGGACTGGGCTGGGCCAGGCCCCTCAGGGGATGCTGACTTGGCCTGCTGAGGGAGCTCTGTCTCCCCACTGCTAGGAAATTCACTTGGCTCCTTGGCCTCTCCCTTCCTTTCTTGCCTTGCTGGTTCTCACCTCTCACTGGAGACTAATGCTAGCTTTGGTTGCTGCAGGGTGTTCAACCAGAGAAGAAAGGGCCCTGGAAAAGACTGAGCCTGTAACTGAGGAAATGGAGGATCCCGAACGCCCAGGAGGAATGCATGGTAAAAACCCAATAAAGAAAGCAAAGCAGAGGTGAGGAAAGGGCTCTGACCACTGAAAGGCCGGAGCAAAACACCTCCTGACTGGTGAAATGGAGACTGGCTCTATTGACAACTGTTAAACCTGATCCTTTCTCAAGGGTCCTGCTGCATGTGCGCAGAGTGAATGGTCCAGCCAGACATTAACACATTTTTCCTGGAGAAAGCAAACCCCAAGTATGTAGTGTGTTTGTGCCCTTGTTAGGCAAACCCCAAGTGACTTACACAAATGTGCTGACTTCCGAGGATTTAGCTAGAACAATAACTTGGGTCACTGGGACTTCAAGCGGATATGAGCTATAAGGAAAGACAAAAATAAATGCTTCTGTGCACTGGGGGAAAGAGAGCCTAGTGGAGCTCACCGCACTTCACTTGTGGTTTGCAAATCTGGAAGCCCATTCATTCAAGCCATCAAAAAAGCCTTTCCTGACCGTGGAAGTCACCTGAGACTTCCTGAACTGGTGGACCGGGCGTATAAGTGCCGTATCCCTGGTTTTTGCTCCTGAAACATTTCTGCATCCCTCCCAAGGTTTCTCATTCCCTAAGCATATGCCTTTCTCTGTGGGTGCTACAGTGCTTGTACCACCGTACTCTGGTTTAGAGAGACAGAGCATCAGGCCTCTGTGCCTCTGGCCCACTCCAGGTGCCATTTCAAAGCTGAGGAAAGAGGCCCTCAGTCCCTCACAGAGCTGGTTTACAATTAGCAGCATTGCTAGAAGACCCTCCTCCCAGAGTGGAATGACAGAGCTGAAACCAGGAAGCGGGGGACTAGTTCCACCTCAGCTATAGGCAAGGCTGGGAGGTACAAATAGAAAAACCAGTGGGGTTTTTGTTGTCGTTATTGTTACAATACCACACAATGATAAAGTTGTCTCACAGAGGGTGAACTGAAGCAGAGAGAGGCTGGGGGTCAGGGAGAAGTGGTGACCATGTAACCTCCAGGCCTGCCCTGCAGCAGTGTGAGAGTGCAGGGAGGGGCAGGGTATGAGAGACAGTGACAAGGAAGAGTCAACCGTCCTACCCAGGTAACTGGAAAGCTCTGGCTGTCTAAGGAGCAAGAGGTCAGCTTTAGTCAATGTTCAACCAGATTTGAGCTGAGATGTCTAGGAGGTGGGTCCAAGGAGTAGACATGGGTGAGTCTAGAGGAAAGTGTGGTTTGGGGAAGAAGATGAGGAGCCTAAGCTGCTGTCAGGAATCCGTGAGGAAATGATCAGTAAGCTATTGAAATCAAGGGCCTGGGGCTGACTGAGCTTAGTATCTCTGTGTAGACAGTGAGGCACTATGGTGAGCATAGTCCTGGGTTTGAATCTTAATTCTGCCATTCATGAGCTATGGGACTTTGATAGACACTGGATTTCTCCACTCCTCACCTATAGAAATATAAAAATGGGTATATCTATCCATGGGGCCATCCAAAGGATACAATAAATAAATAAAGCACTTGAAACAGTGCCTGGCATATACTAAGTGCTAACTAAAACTCTTTGATACTGTTTTCACCATTATTACTCTGCAGTCTTCCTTACAATGGTCATGGCTGAAGCCATGTGGTAGGTGACTTTATAGACAGAAGACGAAGGCCTGAAGAAAGAGCCTTGAGAAAGCGTACTGGGAGGCATTGTATTTACATCATGTTAATTTTTTCCTCCAAGAATCCTTCTTTGAACGTGAGCTTCCAGGATTGGTTCCTGGAGTATGTGTGAAGAATCTGGTAAAGAGTTTTGAGCCGTATGGTCGGCCAGCTGTGGACCGTCTTAACATTACCTTCTATGAGAACCAGATCACCGCATTCCTTGGTCACAATGGAGCAGGGAAAACCACTACCTTGTGAGTTTTCTGGCAAAGAGGCTGGATTGCCATGCTGTCCCGGCATTCCCTGGCATTGTTCTTTCCCCACTAGTGGCTATCTCCTTTTTCCCACTAACTTCAGTGGCAAAATTGTACTCTATATTTGTGGTATACAAGAATTTACGAAGTGTGTTGCAGTACTCAAAGCTCGCTTACATATGTTGTTTTATGGGACTCGCCAAAGAAACTCAAGAGAGAGGTGGCCTAAGTTTATTGACCCATTTGTGTGCCAGAGAAGTGGACATTAAAAGAGTTGAAGTGTGGGGCCATCAGGTGGTGCTGTGGTTAAGGTGCTGGACTCCCAAGTAGTTGACTGCTGTTTGAGTCCTCAACCTGAAGGTTTGACACACACAAGGGGGACCAGCAGTTAGTGTAATGGCTATGTTGCTGAAGTCCCATGTAGTCAACCCTGGTTCGAGTCCCAGACCCAGTGGATTAAACTCACGCAGGGTGTGTGTGCATGTGTGCCCAAGATCCCAAGAGGAGAATGGAGGAGAAGGGATTGCGGTGTGGCCATCCCCCCTGGGGGGTGATTTCTCGCTTTCTCTCTCTCTGTCTCTCTGGTGAGCACATGCACCCTATAGCAACCTCCCCCCCCCCAAAAAAAAAGAAACTCACTCTAGGCACACATGTGTGTGTGCCCAAAAATCCCATGAGTAGAATGAAGGAGAAGGGACTGCAGTGTACCCATGCCCCCTGGAGGGTGAGTTCTTGCTTTCTGTCTCTCTGTCTCTCCAGGGAGCTCATGCACCCTATAACAAAAACCTCTCAAAAAAGAAAGAGAGAGAGTTGAAGTGACTTTCCCGAGGCCGAGTTGTAGTGGGTTAGCAGGGCAAGAGCCAGGTCCTCCCAGCACACCACAACTGCCTCTTGTTTCTAACACGCTGAGGCCTTTATCCCCCCCTCAACCTCTCCGGCATCACCGTTGTCCATGGTGATAAAGTCATGATCCTCATCCTCACATGCACAGGGTCGGAGAGTACTATTTACATTCCAGGAGCATTCCTGTTTCTATCAATAATTAGGCAGGCTTCAACGTCAACAAGGGACCTTGGAGAACGTAAAAAAAGGATGCAGTCTCGAGAAGGGCCTGTGGGCTAACAGCCTCGTGACTGAATGCCAAGTTTAGGGACGACCAAAGGCTCTGTGTGGACCTTTCACCTCAGGAGACTCCCTCACTTCTCCGAGGGGCCTGAGCGCCATCTGCTGAGAGAAGAACCCAAGGAGTAGCAGATGCAGATCTCTCAGGGGACAGTGAACTCCTGTGATCCGATCTCTTACTCTCTTGGTTTCTTGCAGAGCCCCAGGAAGGAACAGCAGTGTGTACACCCTGCCCTGGAATGTTCTCTAGGGTGGTTCAGTGTGAATGGAATGTGGGGCTGGTGCCATTAGGTTTGGTTCTGTTTCCCTCTAGTGGTTGATCAGAGGGAAGATTAGAAGATTTCAGCTCCTAAATCCAAGTTCAGAGAGCCCGAGATTACGTCAGAAGGCAGGGACAGGGCCGGTGTGATGTCTACAACGATTTGCTTTCTCTCCTTGTTCACTAATAAGGTCAGAGAGCTCCACGCACGGTCCCAGGGCTCTTCAGAGGCAAACACGTTACTTCAGCCATTGGCGAAAGGCAGCTTCGGGGGCGGGGGGCAGGGAGTGGGGTTATAGCACGATGTTGAATAACATTAACGTTTAGTTTTATTTTATGCTGGCGCTATTCTAAGGGCATTACATGTATTAACTCACTTAATCCTCGCAACAACCCAAAGGGGTGGGAGTCATTGTTTTCTGTTTAACACACACACACACACAAATGAAAAACAAAACAAAATAAAAAAAAAAATACTGCTTTTGGGCTTTTAATGTTTTGGATCCAAAGATGATATTGTTGGTAAGCCCCCCACCTGGCCTCCACCCGTTAGCCACTAGCTGTACTTTGACTGCTACAAATGCCTGGGCTTCTCCCCATCAGGACCTCACTATGGGTGTGGTAATGGCAACACCCAGATTTTTAATATCTGCTGCTCACCCGGCAGGCAAAGCATGGAGCCCCGCCCTGAACACCTTTTTGTTTCTTTGTTTTTAGTTTTTCATCATAGGGTATGTGTGTTTGCCAGAGAGACAGAGAGACAGAGAAAGACAATGAGAGGTAAAGTGAGAAATCACTGCTTCCCTCAAGGAGGATGGCCACACCGCAATCCCTTCTCCATTCTCTGTCTGAGATTTTGGGCACTCATGCACACACGTGCATGCACACACACAAGCCCAGAGTGATCTTCAAGCTGCCAGGTTCGGGACTCAAACTGCAGTCGGCCACGTGAGAGTCCAGCACCTGAGCCACCATGCCACCTGCTGGCCCCCTGAACACCTTGAAGAGAGCCCCTCTGGCACCAGGCACTGTGAGGGCTGGTTGGGATACCCGTGTCTCCAAGTGAGCGCTCTTGACCGAGAATCCCAGAAGCCCATTACTGCAGGCCTGGGGGCACTAAGAAATAAGTAGAAACAAAGAAAAAAGGCAGATGTGATCCTCTGTGTGAGGGCCTGGTACTAAACATTCTACGGGGGACTATTGGTGCCACAGCTAATAACGATTCGAGTTCGATCCAGGGCCCTGGCAGTAACCACAGGGAGAGTCCTCTCTGGTCCTGGTGTGGGTGCTGCCTCTCAAGGTCCTTCTCAAAGGCCTCCTCTCCTGTGGTTGCAGGTCTATCCTGACAGGGCTGTTGCCACCAACATCGGGGACTGTGCTCATTGGGGGAAAGGACATTGAAACCAGCCTGGACGCGATCCGGCAGAGCCTCGGCATGTGTCCACAGTACAACATCCTGTTCCACCAGTAAGTAAAACAGCAATGGAGACACCAGCCCCACCCCCATGCCCTGGCCTCACCTCTGCCTCTCAACACACATGTTCTTTCTTTTCTTTTTTGAGAGAGGTTTTTGCTCTAGGGCACGTGTGCTCGCCAGAAAGACAGAGAGAAACAGAGAGATAGAAGGCGAGAAATCACCCCCAGAGGGGATGGCCACACTGCAATCCCTTCTCCTCCATCCTCCTCTTGGGATCTTGGGCACACACGAACACGTGCCTGGCGTGAGTTTAAGCCACCGGGTCTGGGACTCAAACCACGATTGACTCAATGGGAGTCCAGCAACATAGCCATTATGCCGTCTGCTGGTCCCATCTAAATACATTCAAAGTTTAAAGGAAAAGCAATTTCAACCAAGAATAGTGTACTTGGCAAGATTATCCTTCATGTGGGAGGAAAAGACAAGAACATTCTCAGATAAACAAAACTTGAAAGAATTTATCAGCACCAGACCAGATCTCCAAAAAATTCTCAAGGGAGTACTATATCAGGGAAATTAAATACAGCCACACTGAAATAAGTGTTCAAAAACTAAGAAAATGGCCAACTTAATCATAGGGACAAGTTTGGAGTTGAATATTACAAACCAGGATTTAATCAGGAAAATCGAACAACCACAGAAGATAAAGTACATGAGACTGATTTGGTGAAATAGAATTTTATGACTTTTGACTAAAACATTGCTGATTTTCTTCTAGGTTTGGTTCTGTTTCCCTCTAGTGGTTGATCAGAGGGAAGATTAGAAGATTTCAGCTCCTAAATCCAAGTTCAGAGAGCCCGAGATTACGTCAGAAGGCAGGGACAGGGCCGGTGTGATGTCTACAACGATTTGCTTTCTCTCCTTGTTCACTAATAAGGTCAGAGAGCTCCACGCACGGTCCCAGGGCTCTTCAGAGGCAAACACGTTACTTCAGCCATTGGCGAAAGGCAGCTTCGGGGGCGGGGGGCAGGGAGTGGGGTTATAGCACGATGTTGAATAACATTAACGTTTAGTTTTATTTTATGCTGGCGCTATTCTAAGGGCATTACATGTATTAACTCACTTAATCCTCGCAACAACCCAAAGGGGTGGGAGTCATTGTTTTCTGTTTAACACACACACACACACAAATGAAAAACAAAACAAAATAAAAAAAAAAATACTGCTTTTGGGCTTTTAATGTTTTGGATCCAAAGATGATATTGTTGGTAAGCCCCCCACCTGGCCTCCACCCGTTAGCCACTAGCTGTACTTTGACTGCTACAAATGCCTGGGCTTCTCCCCATCAGGACCTCACTATGGGTGTGGTAATGGCAACACCCAGATTTTTAATATCTGCTGCTCACCCGGCAGGCAAAGCATGGAGCCCCGCCCTGAACACCTTTTTGTTTCTTTGTTTTTAGTTTTTCATCATAGGGTATGTGTGTTTGCCAGAGAGACAGAGAGACAGAGAAAGACAATGAGAGGTAAAGTGAGAAATCACTGCTTCCCTCAAGGAGGATGGCCACACCGCAATCCCTTCTCCATTCTCTGTCTGAGATTTTGGGCACTCATGCACACACGTGCATGCACACACACAAGCCCAGAGTGATCTTCAAGCTGCCAGGTTCGGGACTCAAACTGCAGTCGGCCACGTGAGAGTCCAGCACCTGAGCCACCATGCCACCTGCTGGCCCCCTGAACACCTTGAAGAGAGCCCCTCTGGCACCAGGCACTGTGAGGGCTGGTTGGGATACCCGTGTCTCCAAGTGAGCGCTCTTGACCGAGAATCCCAGAAGCCCATTACTGCAGGCCTGGGGGCACTAAGAAATAAGTAGAAACAAAGAAAAAAGGCAGATGTGATCCTCTGTGTGAGGGCCTGGTACTAAACATTCTACGGGGGACTATTGGTGCCACAGCTAATAACGATTCGAGTTCGATCCAGGGCCCTGGCAGTAACCACAGGGAGAGTCCTCTCTGGTCCTGGTGTGGGTGCTGCCTCTCAAGGTCCTTCTCAAAGGCCTCCTCTCCTGTGGTTGCAGGTCTATCCTGACAGGGCTGTTGCCACCAACATCGGGGACTGTGCTCATTGGGGGAAAGGACATTGAAACCAGCCTGGACGCGATCCGGCAGAGCCTCGGCATGTGTCCACAGTACAACATCCTGTTCCACCAGTAAGTAAAACAGCAATGGAGACACCAGCCCCACCCCCATGCCCTGGCCTCACCTCTGCCTCTCAACACACATGTTCTTTCTTTTCTTTTTTGAGAGAGGTTTTTGCTCTAGGGCACGTGTGCTCGCCAGAAAGACAGAGAGAAACAGAGAGATAGAAGGCGAGAAATCACCCCCAGAGGGGATGGCCACACTGCAATCCCTTCTCCTCCATCCTCCTCTTGGGATCTTGGGCACACACGAACACGTGCCTGGCGTGAGTTTAAGCCACCGGGTCTGGGACTCAAACCACGATTGACTCAATGGGAGTCCAGCAACATAGCCATTATGCCGTCTGCTGGTCCCTTATTAATTTTTTTTTTTTTTTCCCAACACACATGTTCTCTAGAGCCCAGCTCAAGGATGCCAGGTCTGGGCATAGGTGGCGATACTCTTGTTTAGTTTCCCTGTGTTTGAGGTCTCTTGTCCCACTTGCAAGGTGGAAATGGTCCCTTGGGATACAGGACTGTGCCTCTGGTGCTCTGAGCTGAGGTCTGCCCCCTCAGAAAAGTGACACCACCTCTTCTCTGACAGAGTGACCGACCATGGGCCCCTTGCTCAGCCCTGAAACATTCTTCTTAAGGACCAAAGAGAGGAGGGCTGCCGTGTCTCTGTTTTAAAAAACAACAATATTGCCATATGTTTATCACTTATGAAATTGTCTTTTAGGTTTATTTTTTCAGAGAGAGGCAGACAAATAGGTGCCCACGATGAGGTGCTCAAGCCGTGATCCGCTCCATTGTCAGGCAGCCCGGATCAGGGCATGTGTGTGTGCCGTGTGCTCAGGGAGGTCCTGGCATGAGAGCCTTCCCCATGTGGGGCTGGTTGCATCACTGCTATGCCTCGCCTGGTCCTCTTTCCTTTTAAACCAAGACACTGAAGACCAAATTTTCAGGGTGCTTTTCAGTTGCCTTTTTTGTTTTTCCAGTTAAAGTATCTTCTATTTATTATTTAAGATGCTAAATGTGGTCATTGAGCAAAGAAGGAAGGCAGAAGAAAAGGAAGGAAGGGAGGGTGGGAGGAAGGAAGGAAGTATAAACAGAAAGAAGAAAATAAGTCACCTTAATTTCTCTCCCCAGAGAAAACCACTCCTTGTATTTAGTTTTTTAGTTTTCTCCTATACTTGTATAGATGTTCATACAGACTATACAAAGGAGAATGAAACTATGCATACAATATTCCAACCTGCCATTTTATTTTAATGTGATGGCTTTTTCTAACTGAAGGTATCATGAACATCTTTTCATGGCATTATATCTTCTTCTATAAAATAATGTTAATATTAGCATACTATTCCATTGAATGAAAGATTTTTTTTTTTTTGAGAGATTTTCGCTGTAGGGCGCGTGCGCTTGCCAGACAGACAGAGACATAGAGACAGAAAGCGAGAAATCACCCCCCAGGGGGGATGGTCGCGCCGCAATCCCTTCTCCTCCATTCTCCTCTCGGGATCTTGGGCACACACGCACACGCGCCCGGCGTGAGTTTTAAGCCACCGGGTCCAGGACACGAACCGCGGTCAACTACGTGGGAGTCCAGCGACATAGCCATTACTCTAACTGCTGGTTCCCCTGAAAGATTTTTTTTTTTAAGAGAGATTTTTGCTATAGGTCACAGGCGCTCGCTAGAGAAACAGCGACAGAAAGCAAGAAATCACCCCCCCCCAGGGAGGATGGCCAAGCCACAATCCCTTCTCCATTCTCCTCTTGGGATCTTGGGCACGCATGCGCATGTGTGAGTTTTAAGTTGCTGGGTCTGGGACTCGAACTGTGATCAACCACGTAGGAGTCCAGCAACGAAACCATTATACCATCTGCTGGTTCCTGAATGAATAAACTATTTAAGCCATCCTTTCTTGTTAGATATGTAGGTGGAGTCTGTTTGTTTTGTTTTTGAATCTCAAACAACACCATGAGGAATGCCTGGATTGCTAAATTTTTGTGTTTACCTTTAATTCTCTCCGTAAGATAAACTGCCAGGAAGGGGCTTGTCGATCCCCCATTGCCTGTCTCGTTGTCCTGTCCCCATAGCCTCACGGTGGCTGAACACATCCTGTTCTATGCCCAGCTGAAGGGGAAGTCCTGGGGTGAGGCCCAGCTGGAGATGGAGACCATGTTAGAGGACACAGGCCTCCACCACAAGAGGAACGAAGAGGCTCAGGATCTATCAGGTGCCTGGTATTGGAAAAAGACGGGGCTCCCGACGGCGAATCTGGAAAATGGGAGCGGGGTGGGGGCGCTGTATAATAGGAGAGCCCCCCAAGAGCTGGAAGTGCTGGGGAGATGTCCTGAGAATCTGAAAGCAGTCCACCTCTGGGCCATTCTCCACATGGAACGCAGCATCGCAGCAGCCTGGGCTTTATTCATTCTGCCGTTCATGTGTTTGAACTAAGAGTGAGGACAGTCTTCAAATGACTGGCTCCTAGGAGGCAGGGGTTACCTGCTCTTTGTTAAAGGGCCTGTACGTGACCAGGGTTTTGAGTGTTGTATGAAGATCTAAGGAGGCAGCTTCAAACTGCTGCCAGATTCAAGGGCTCCCTTCATGCCGCCAGCCCTGGGCCTTTCTCTTTCCTCGTCGGTCCCTCCTGTGACCTCCACCCCCCACCTCCCGTGCCTCTAGGTGGCATGCAGAGGAAGTTGTCTGTTGCCATCGCCTTTGTGGGAGACGCCAAGGTGGTTGTTCTGGATGAGCCCACCTCCGGAGTGGACCCATACTCAAGGCGCTCGATCTGGGACCTCCTTCTGAAGTACCGCTCAGGTAATGGCCACCCCCAGTGCCCAGTGCCCTTACTGAGGCCTTTCCTGTGGCCCCCCACCTCTGACACCTGGTGTTTGACAAGGGAATAATATAATAACAGCTGTAATTATACTCAGGTGGCTTAACAGCGAATCTAAGTTCCTGTTAAAACTTCCTGAGGATTTTACACAAATACAACCAGGGAATCACTGATGGAGCAGCCCACTTTCCAAGCTATTCTAGAAAGTTCTCTCAACCTGCAGCCCTTCTGTCAGGATTAATGGGTACAGCTCCAGGTGAAATTTCCCCTTGACTAAGGGAGCCCAAGTCACCTATAAACATCCCAGGAAGCGCCTTAGCTGTTGATGACCACTCAGGGCCAGGTGTGAGGGTATGAACTCGGTGCTCAGGGCCACAGAGGACTGCTGTAGGGGCAAATGTCTTGTTCTCTGTCACGACACCTGCCAGCTCAGATCCAGCTCCCCCCAGTCACCCGGTATTTCCTCAAGCCTTTCTCTGATGGTTTGGCATTCTGGAATCCTCACTAGTGCTGATGTTTTGCTTTGTTTGGTTCTGCTAACAATATCTCCAGTCCGTGTGTGTGTGTGTGTGTGTGTGTGTGTGTGTTGGGGGGGGGAGAATGTGTGCATGTTCTTTACAAAGACTGCAAACACAAAGTGTAATGGGCCAGAGATGGGGAGTATGGAGCCTAGTAGATGATGCCTGATGAGAACGAATGTGCCCTGTGGATGGTGACTTACTCGTCAGACCCATGCCTGACCAATAGGTCTGTGTGTGGCGATGCTCTCGGTATGTGGGATGCTCTGAAATATTAATTGTGTTATCCTAATATCCTGGAATTTGCTACAGGGTTAGCCCCATGTGTGTGTGTGTGTGTGTGTGTGTGTGTGTGTGTGTGTGTGTGCACGTGTGCCTGTGTGAGTGTGTGTGTGTGTTTATTAACTCCCAGTTGTTGGGATCCTATAACCAGGAGGTTGCTATCCATCCTCCACTAACCACGCCCAGGCCCTGCCTGGTGACCCCTGGCCCGCCCTTGCAGGCAGGACCATCATCATGTCCACACACCACATGGATGAGGCTGACATTCTGGGAGACCGCATCGCCATCATTTCCCAGGGGAAGCTCTACTGCTCGGGCACCCCGCTGTTCCTGAAGAATTGCTTTGGCACAGGCTTCTACCTAACTTTAGTGCGCAAGATGAAAAACTTCCAGAGCCAAAGAGACGGCTGTGAGGTATGTGTCTGCGCAGGGAGGGAGCCGTCCTGGGGAGAAGGAGCAAGCGTGGGGCTGCCACTCTGGACTTTCCTCCCCAGTCAAGTTCTAGGTGCCAGAACACACTTCCTTGTTGCTAGGACCTTCTGTAGGAAATTTCTTTTTTTTTTTTAAAGGAATTATTTTATTTAACTTTATTTGTTTATTTATTTATTTAAATTTTACCAGAGAAGGACAGAATTGGGGGCGGGGGGTGAGAAAGCAAGCCACCAAGCCTGGGACTCGAACTGCAGCTAACCGTGTGGGAGTCGAGCGCCCTTAACCACCACATGATGAGCATGTTCTGACCTCCTAACAGATGCTTTACCCAAAACAAAACAACTAGTTTGAAATGATCTGAGTGATTACATGCCAGTATCCCAAACTACGCACGTGGTTTAGTGTAACGTAGTAATTATAATCTTATTCTGTACGGTTAGATTTTGTTTTGTTTGTTTGTTTTGCTAGAGGGCACATTTACTGACCAGAGACAGCCAGGGAGAAATCACCTCCCAATGGGGCATGGTCACACTGCTATTTCTCCTCCTCCATTTCTCCATCTTTTGGGATTTGGGATACACACACACACACACACACACACACACTCACACGCACACACACACACACACACACACACACTCACACGCACACACACACACACACACACACACACCAGTGTGTTTTTCAAGCCACCAGGGCTGGTATTTGAATTGTGGTTGGCTATGTAGGATCTGGCTCCCTTTACCCTCCAGGCTACAGGGCCGGCCCAAAGTCAGAATATTTTAAGAGTAGTTGTTAAACCTTTCTTTCTTTTTTTTTTTATATCAACATTTATATTCCCTTATTAAACTTGAATTTTAGTGATAAATGAAAGCTAAGAAAAAGCCTCCTTGCAAACCATAATCTAAGCATACTCAAAGCCAAAAAAAATCTCAGGAGAGACCACCTCAGCATGTCAGGAGACCCAGGTCCAGGTCCGAGCTGCAGTGTGGATGAGCCATGTCCTCCAGGCACATTACTTAACTCCTTGTTTTCCTCCCCTCCTCTGCTTCTTAGGGACGTGAAGATAAATGAGATAAAGTATTACGAATGTGTAGGACCAGCAGTTAGCATAATGGCTATGTCACTGGACTCCCATGTAGTCGTTCACGGTTTGAGTCCTGGACCCGGTGACTTAAACTCATGCTGAACGTGTGTGCATGTGTGCCCAAGATCCCAAGAGGAGAATGGAGGAGAAGGGATTGTGGTGGGGCCATCCGCCCTGGTGGGTGATTTCTTGCTTTCTGTCTCTCTGTCTCTGTCTTTCAGGCGAGCACACATGCCCTATAGCAAAAAACCTCTCCAAAAAATAATAATAAAAAAATTTATAAAAGAAATAAGTATATATAACGAATGTGCTCTGGGCTCCCTGAGAGCAGGCACTGCTCACATTCAAATCATCATGGTTATGATGTAGCCTTACTTGTGCCTCTGGTTTAAGTGTCCTGTCCGCGGCCCGGTGTGTGCACAGGGAAGGAGGAGTGGCACTTCCCGCACAGGCAGGACCCACCGCCGTCACCTGATGAATGACAAGCCAGAGGGGTCCTTTGAGGGTCTGCTTCTCTGTGCACCTGATACACATTCTTCAGGATAGTACCAACTGGCCACACCCTCGACGTGCTCAGATGAATGAACAGATTAAACAGTGACTGTGTTGACCAACTTGGCGGCGAGAAACAAAGCAGGAGTCGGCCTCAGGGAGATGCCATCACTGGCATGGCATGTCTCTTGTCAGCCTTTCCCATGCATCTGTCGTAGGAAACTTGCAGCTGTGCGTCGAAGGGCTTCTCCAGCAGGTGTCCAGCCTGTGTCGATGAGATAACTACAGAGCAAGTCTTGGACGGTAAGGACTGGGGCAGGCCACTCCTCGGTTCCTGCGTGGTGACCATCTCCCAGAATTAGTTGGGATTTCTTTTTCTGTACCAACATTCATATTCCCTAATGAGTCCTGAATTCTAGTGATAAATGAAACTATTGTTGGGCATGTCCTAGTGTGATGTATTTTAAAGGGAGCAAAGAGAGCACTCTGTACTTCTCAGGCTCAAGGTCCTGCAATGGCTCATCTTTATCCTTGAGCTTCTCTCTCCTCTTCCTCTTTCTTCTATTCCCAAAGGGATTTTAAAAAAGAGAGAGAGAGAGAGAGAGAGAGAGAAATTTTTGCTATAGGGAGCATGCACTCGTCAGAGAGACAGAAAGCGAGAAATCACCCCCCTAGAAGGGATGGCCATGGCGCAAATCCTTCTCTTCCATTCTCCTCTTGGGATCTTGGGCACGCACGCACACACACACGCATCCCCAGTGTGAGTCCAGGACCTGAACTGCAATCAACTACATGGGAGTCTGGCAACACAGCCATTACACCATCTGCTGGTCCTTCCCAAAGGGATTTTAAAAGTCTTGCACCTAGGGGCCAGCAGATGGCGTAATGATTACGTTGTTGGACGCCCATGTAGTCAACTGCAATTCACGTCCCCTTCACGCCGGGTATGTGTGCATGTATGCCCAAGATCCTGAGAGGAGAATGGAGGAAAATGAGTGAGTACACATGTTTTATAGCAAAAATCTCTTTTTCTAAAAAAAAAAAAGAAAAGAAAAAGTCACGTCACTAAGCACCCTCTCCCTTTAATGAGAATCTGGTCTTTGTCCACTCTGTGCCCTTAAACATATTAAACTTCCATTTATTCCTAGGGTCCTCCTGTGATATTAGTTAGTGTGACATTAGTTAGTGTCTAGACAGAGATGCTTCTGAAAGTGCACATGGCACCCTCTGGTGGAACCTTGTCTACACACACAGCTCTTAGGGAAAACTGAGAGTCAGAGGTTGTACGTGGGGACTGCGAGTGGGGTAATGTCACACGCTCCTGTTATCTGCTAACTCTTCCCTTAGCTGTCCAATTGTTCAGTGCACGGGCGCTCTCAAGGGCATCCCCACCTCCAGGGAGATGCAGTAGAGAAGCTATTACTATAGAAACAATCATTCACCCGGTAGGATCGGAGCTCAGGGATCCAGGTTCGTGCCAGCACTTCTTCCCACTCTCCATGAGCACCACCCATATCACTAGTAGAGGTGTCTGCAGGTGGACCCCACATGTGCTGTAAGTCCTAAGTCAGAGCAAAGCCACACTTAGGTACAAGCCAGATGAGTGCAGGACAGACACACCTGCTTATCGAAGAAGAGGAATTTCCTATTTAGCACACTTTTTTTTTTTTCTAAATCTGAAAAATTTACTGAGTCCTGGTAAAACGAGACAACTAGACAAAAGTTACATTCTCTGGTTAAAACTCGAGGGAAAGTGTCCAGAGTTGTAGCATCAGTTTTCATTCTCCCAGCCTCTCTACACTAACAGACTTGGGGGTGTCCAGAGATACCTTTTTAGGGTGAGATCTCTGTGTTTTTTGGCTAGGCTGCCCTGCCGTGGGTCACCCCTGGCTTTCTAAAGACTCCTCTTATACTAGAAAGAATCTTGGCCAAGAAATTTAGACTTAAAAAAAAAATAATCAATACTAATATGTTTAGTTAGCTCCACCAAAATCAAGTTGGAAACAAGGCCACTTGGCTGGGATTATATTTTTTAAAAAAATATGATTTCATTTCTAAATAAAGATTTTCTTTGTATAGCATAGAGATCCTGGGAATGGTGGGAAGTACAGTAAGTAGTTATGCCCCAAATAAGGAACAGAAGATCATGTTAACCTCCAGTTAACCACGCCGAGGATTTTCACTCACTCACACACCCACCTACCCCACACATACCAGCAGGCCTCGCTGCCAGACGCTGAGAGCCTGCCAACCTACAGGGCTACTTTGGGAAAGGCTGACACATCTAAGACACAATTCCTGGGAATCCAGCAGCTTCGGTTCAGTTTCCTTCCTACTAGAACAATGGCCGTGACCCCTAGAGAACTATGAGGGCAGAGCTACATCCTCAAGTAAAGAACTCGCCAGCCCCTGCATGAAGTCATCCCAGAATGACAGACAACCCCGTCTATGTGCAGGGTTGTCATAGAACAAGCCTTCCAGTCCAGCTAAGCAAAAGGACGTTGGCTGCAAGCCACGAAATCCCTCCGCATGGGTCATTTTTAAAACAAAGAAAGAAAAGAACTCACTGGGAAGCCTGACTCTCTCTAAGAGAACTGCTTTCCAAGGGGCTGTGCATTCCCAGAACCCCTTTCCCTTTGACCTGCCTCTTGCAATCATGTGCCCGGAAGTGTCTCTTCGAATCCACGCTTTGACGTTTGTAAAGTAAGTTTTTAAATGTTAAAGTAACATGTTTGCACATAAAATTCAGTTCTGACTGGACAAGGGTGTCAGGTAAATACTTGATACCTGTCTCTGGCTCATACTCATGCTGCTTACCGCACCCTCCAGCCACTGGCCTCTCTATGGCTCTTCAACGCCCTTTGCCACTTCCTGGGAACAGGGTGTTGAGTTTTGTTTGAGGAAACTGGTGCAATCCCAGGTAAAGTGCCATGGTTTTCCACACCGTTAGGTCAGACGTGGGTGTGTGATTGAGGAAGGGGACCGCTCACTCAGCTCGGTCACCAGTTTCAGGTAAGCATCTTGGGCGAATCCCCTATAGCTTGGGCCAGACCAGAAAATGATGCTACTTTGACTTCCGTCACACCTGTGGTGAGTGAGAATGAGCAGCAACCATGACAAAACCCTTTCTTACCTGAGATGATGGTCACCGTAGCGGTTGTGACGCACACTCACCCGTGGGCCCGCACTTACCAGGGCTCTGTGTATATTAACTCGCTCAGGCCTCGCAAGCAACAGCAGAGTAGGTACTGATATTTCTCCCTTCTCATAGAGGAACTTAGGTATCTCCTGCCCACATTGGATTGGATGAAAGAGGAAACTGCAGAGGAGTCACATGACCTCCCCTAGGTCGCACGGCTAGCCAGCAAGGAAGAACTTTTGCTTCCATCTCCTCCTCCCTCTCAGTGGCCATCACGGGACAAATTCAGCTAAAAACAGACTCGATGAGTGTTGCTCTTTCAAAAAGTCACTGCTGAGTGACAAAATGCCCTTTCCTCCCATGGAAGGTAGACGGAAGTTGGAAACCGAGGCCACCCAACAGTCTCCCAGGTTCTGGAAAGTATGAGTGGGCCTCAGTCGTTTTTTCTTGTCCTAGGGGATGTGAACGAGCTCACAGACGTGGTTCGTCACCACGTGCCAGAGGCAAAGCTGGTGGAATGCATTGGTCAAGAACTTATCTTCCTTCTTCCAAATAAGAATTTCAAGCAGAGATCGTATGCCAGCCTTTTCAGAGAGCTGGAGGACACGCTGCCTGACCTGGGGCTCAGCAGTTTCGGGATTTCTGACACTCCCCTGGAAGAGGTAAAGCAGAGATTCCAGCTGGGTTCTGTCAGGTGCCAGAAGAGGCAGTTCTTTGCAAAAATCTAACACCACAGTGAAGTTTTGTAAAAGCCAAAAGCTATAATTCCTCCACCCAAGCATAGCAGCTCTCTTCATTTTTGGCTTACTTCCACCTGCCTTTGTCCATATGCATACATACTTTACATAGTTGTGGTCACCATGTGCTTACATTTTTGTATTTACAGAAGACTATGTTCTTAAAGAGTCATAACATATTTTCTTCCCATTATGAAGCAATGCCCAACAAAATGGAGCTCAGGTTAGACTTTTCTGATGGGGAAATGCTAAACCACATTCTTTCTTTTCTCCTTTTTGGCAGATCTTTCTGAAGGTCACAGAGGATTCCGATTCTGGACCCCTATTAGCTGGTATGGCGCTGGAGCATGTAGCTCCTTCCTACGCTCCTACTCCCAGCTTTCTCTTGAAAGTCTAAGGAAAAGGCCATGAAACAGCCAAGTAGGCAAATATTCCTCCACAGTATCTGACTCCCAGATAATAGTCATTTGGATTCTTGGTGCCTTTGAGGGACAAAGGAATGACAGACTGCTCTGGTTCGAGTAGGGACACTCTAGATGAATCAGGGTTCTCATGGAGACCAGGTTGGCAGCTTCATCCCCAGACTTCTCACCCCTATCTCTCCTGACCCTGTCAGGAGGCAGGGAGGGCGGGAAACTGCCCCTCCAGGGGAAACTAAGCTCATAGAGGTTGCATGACTTGACTAAAGTCCCACAGGCTTCCGGGTCTTACTGTCTGGTTTTAACTCTCAAATCTAGAATCCTCAATTCCACACTCTCCCTGTGTCCTGTTTTTCAGATGGTGAAGTGCATTTGTTTCGATTGAACTCAGTTTTAGAGGATGACATACTCTGATCTTGTCTCCAAAGTCTGAAGGAACCTGTAGCTGTCCACTGGGACCACATGTTGCATGGCACAGATAGGTGCCACTTCTTAGGTGGTGACTAACAACCAGGGATGACTACAGATTTGCAGAAAGGCAGGGACAACCCAGCTTTGTGGAGTAGTCCTTGGCTCTGGCCTGGACAGTGGACTTCCACCTGGATGGGGCCATCAGGGAGAGAGTAAAGCTCAGAGGAAAGAGGTGAGGTCAAACCAGCAAAGGGGAGAGGCAGCAGGGAGCCTACCATAGCAGACATCCAAGCTGAGCCCAGAACAGGAAGAGAAGGCTGGAGAGTGGGGCCTCCGACAGGGCAGCCAGCTGGCCTGCGGAACTTCTACCCTATTCTGAGAGCCAGGGCTGGGGTCGGTGCTACCCGTCACCAGGACCTGTACATCCCCAGGCTAGAGCATTGTAGGTTTCTATGAACGTTAGATAAAAGGATGACTAAGCTGACCCAGCTCCCTTACAGCTAGCTGCCTTTGTCCTGAGGGCCTTGAGGAGGGTTAAGAAAGGAACTGGGGATCAACTAGCATCCTTTAGGCTTTCTCTGGTGTCCAGCCATAGATAGACTGCAAATGAGCTTTAACCACTAACAGCAAACTGTGACTTCCCTGTTTCAAATGCTTGCAAGAACTTACAAAGCATCTCCACATATGTTATCTTATTTAATTGTCAAAACAATCCTGCAATGTGTTCGTTCATTTCACAGATGAGAAAACTGATTCAGGCAGGTTGAGTCACTTGCCTAACTGTATGCATCCTGTAAGAGACAGGATTCAAGCCCAGGTCTCCTGGCTCCTTGTTCATGAGTCTTTTTACCACTTTTCATGACCTCGAAGAATTCAGAAAGAGGGAAAGCCTGTAGCATGGTGGTTGAGGCAGCTGTATCCCACATGGCCAACTGCTTGGGTCAAGTCCCAGACCTGCCTGGCAGCTTGAGAAACATGCCAGGCACATGTACAGGTGTGCCCAAGATCCTAAAAAGAAGGGAAAATGGGAGAGAATAGATTGCAGCATGACCATTCCCAATGGGGGCACCCTCTCATGTTCTCTCTTGCTCTCTCTACCTCTCTGTCTCTCTCCATTGAATGCATGTGCCCTCTGGCAAAATAAAAAAAAAAGAATTCAGAAAGTACCAAATTGACTCTGATTTTTAATTTTTAAGTTAAAAAAATTTTAAATGTATTTTGTTGTTTAAAAGCTCACATAATACACAAAGTCTTAAATCCCCCTTCCTATTTCACCACTACTCCTGTCCAACACCCCCTCCCCAGTGGGGGTCTCTGTAGTCAGCTGGAGGGTGGCATTCTTCTAGTGCTTTGAAGTTTCTTTCTTTCTTTTTTGAGAATTATTTTATTTAATTTTATTTATTTATTTATTTATTTTAATTTGACCAGACAGGGACAGAGTGAGAGCAAGAGAGGGAAAATAAGAAAGCAAGTCGCCAGGTCTGGGACTCAAACTGCGGTTGGCCATGTGGGAGTTCAGCACCCGTAACCACCACACCACCCGCTGGCCCCTACTTGGCAGTCTCTTGTGTGTGTACATAAGCTCTCATTTTTCTGCAGTTTCTTGTGTGTGTACATAAGCTCTCATTTTTCTTTGTATGTGATATATGACCTTTCTAACATGAACGTGATGTTAGTGCACATGTTGCTATGGCCCTCATGTTTGGTTTAGTTTCATGTTTTACTGAGTTATATCACCTGGACTCCTCACTACGTCAATGCATATAGAGTTATTTTATTCTCTTTAATGTTAACAGATAAATTTTAAGCAATTTCAGGTGATTCTAAACACAGTTTACACTGGAAAATACATTTTCTGATTATTAACCAACTTGGCCTGACATTTTGTTGCTAATTAAGAAAAATGGTAAACGAGCTCCAGACCTTATGGAGTTTTATTTGCAGAATTTCTTATTAATTCAATCTCACAAACCAGGTGGCACTCAGCAGAAAAAAGAAAACCTCAGCCTCCGACAGCCTTGCTTGAGTCCCAGTGAGGAGGCCAAACAGACTTCGCAGGACTCCAACGTCTGTTCTGCAGCAGCAGCTGCTCCCCCGGAGGGTCAGCCTCCCACAGGGCCAGAGGACCCCCGCACCCAGCTCAACACGGGAACACAACTCTTACTGCAGCACGTGCAGGCGCTGCTGGTCAAGCGGTTCCACCACACCCTCCGCAGTCGTAAGGACTTCCTGGCCCAGGTACCAGGCCAGTCTTCCGTGGTGCTCTGTCGCTCCTCCCACGGCCTCTTGTGCCTCTCCTGGCCTGTCCGTCCTCTCTAGACCATTCTGCGCATCTGGGTTCTGTCAGCTTTGTTTCCTCCTTGCCAAACCTTATTTTAGTTCTGGGTAACACAGGACTTCTTTGTAAGTATTGGCCCTCAGTTAGCAGAGAAAATAGAATAACAGTGATTATGTTAATCTTGGCTTTATTTCTACAGTGAAGGTTAAAGTCATGTTTTCATCATTTTTGCAATGGTCCTATGTATCAAGATTACTGCCCTCTTCTCTTGTAATGTTTTTACTCAGAAAAAGAAACACTGATTCGAAGAGCAGTGAGTAAGTGACTTGCTCTTTGCTCTTTGAACCACCCTTTAACCTGCGGCTGAACACTGGCCTATCTTTAGATGCCCCGGGGGCTACCAGAACTTTCTGTTCTCTGCTCATCTTGTCTTTGCACACCCTACCTATAACGCTCCCTTGGAAGCCTGACCTTTGCCCGGCTATAAGATTGCATGGTAAACATTTGAAAGATCGAGTGTGAGTGCCTGCGTGCGTGTGGGCATGTGCACATACATGCACATGCATTCATTCGTGCGTGTTTAACCCTCACACAGCATAGCCACTTTCCATATTGATTCTCCCACAGATTGTGCTCCCGGCTTCCTTTGTGTTTTTGGCTCTCATGCTTTCCATCGTTGTCCCTCCTTTTGGTGAATATCCTGCCTTGACCCTTCACCCTTGGATGTATGGGCAGCAGTATACCTTCTACAGGTGCGCAGACTCAAACCCAGAGGCTCCCCTTCACCTGCATGGGTGTGCGGCTCCTGGCCACCTGGTTGGTAGGGCTCTGATTGTCCCATTCCCCGAGACCTTTACCAGCATAGAGGAGTTCTGGGACTGGCCTCAGAAGGGAAGTCAGGGTACCTGCCACTTCCCGGAGGGTGATCAAGTGGACTGCTTGAACTGTTTGGGGAGGGGAGCAAGGAAAGAATGTAAAGCCAGGGTGGGTGGGTGGCTCGCCCTCTTTCTGAGGCATATACAACATGCCATCAGACCACTGGGTGTGTTCAGGCAGCCTACCCAACTCCCAACAGGCCTCCCACCTCCTAGGGCAGCTTTCAGTGCCTCGCGTACATGCCCAGCCCAACAGTAACCGCTCCATAAACACTTTGAATTGCATGTCGGCTGCTTTTGTCCATTCCGTCCCAGTCAAGTGTCCACCTGGTAAGACCCTCTCACTCCATCTAGCATGGATGACTCGAACAGTGAGCATCTCGAACTGCTGGCGGATGTCCTCCTGAACAAGCCAGGCTTTGGCAACCGCTGCCTGAAGGAAGAGTGGCTTCCGTAAGTCCCCGTGCAGCCCTAACACCAGCGGTTGCCTGGGAGCCTGGGAGTGGGGAAAGGGTCTGGGATGGCAGGGTGACACGTAGCCCCTACTCTGTATTACATGGGTCACTTCCGTATCTCTAACCACCACCCACCCAGCTGCCCCGGGTGTGTGCAGGGCATCCACTCCCTCCTGCACGTCTATGTTACGTTGACGTAGGATTCCCTATAACTTACTGGAAAGGCCTATGGACAGAGGAGGGAGGGAGATTAGGGATCCCCCACCGTGTACTTGGACTTCGGGTGGCATCAATCATATGTATGCCTAGCTCTCAGTGACTGTTGAATGTATAGAGAAGGGAATTACAGGAGACAGTTAAAATCCACCAGGAATCCTAAAAGTTCAGTATAATTTTAACTTCTTCTCTCATCCAGTCTTTTTCAAAGTTACCAATAAGAACCAAGCAGACTAATTTCAATTTCCTTTTTCATTGGTTTTATCTCTCAACAGCTAGAGCTACTAGGAGAAAAAGGGAGATAAGACAGTTCACAAACCAGATAACTATTCCCTGAGCCCCCACCTACTCACAGTCTTGGTATTTCTTGAGCAGAAACTAACCTCAAGAGGCTAAGAGGACAGTGCATGGGTCTGATGAGGAGAGGCCGAGAAGAACAGGGTTGGGCACTGTTTCTCATTTCTAGGGATTTTTTACAAATCAATTTTAGAACTGACTGTGGAATATTTTCTTGTGTTCCATAAGGGAGTACCCCTGTGGCAATTCCACCCCCTGGAAGACTCCTGCAGTGTCCCCGAACATCACCCACCTGTTTCAGAAGCAGGAGTGGCTGCCAGAGCACCCCTCACCGGCCTGCAGGTGCAGTACCAGGGAGAAACTCACCATGCTGCCCGAGTGCCCCGAAGGTGCTGGAGGGCTCCCACCCCCTCAGGTAACCAGGGGTGCCCTGAACTGGCCTGCAACCACAGGGACTAGGGAAACACATGGTCCCTCCTGAGTCTCTAGCCAACTAACATTTTAGACTGACGGCTGAGTGAGGGACTGAATGACAACCTAGGTCCTGTCAGAGGGGCTTGTGGGAAAGCCCTGTCACTGTCAGCTGGAGGAAGACACTGAGAGCTTAGTTTTCTACCAAACACTTCCTGTTCTAGTTAGTAAGAAAACATGTTAAATACTTAAAAAATCAAGCGAGTCATACATGCTCATTATAGAAAAATTAGAAAACACAAGTCAAAGTAAAAGAAACGTCATTTGGCGATAACCGCCAATATTTGTTTATTTTTTGCCAAGCAGGATTATCTTCAAAATATTGTTTTGAAACCTGCTTCTTCTTTCTTTCTTTTTTTCTTTTTTGCTAGAGGGTGCATGCACTCAACAGAGAGAGGAGAACCCTTCCATACACCCCCCAATGGAGAATGGTCACGCCTTCTCCGTCTCTCCCTCCTTTCCGGATTCCAGCACACTCACATGCACCCAGCAAGTTTCTCATGCCACTGGGGCTGAAACTCAAACCACATGGTCAGCCGTGTAAGATCTAGGCACTCTAATCACCAGGCTGTGGAACCAGCCCCAAATCTGTTTTTTTTTCACTTAATGACATATCATGAATATACATCCATGTCAATAAATATCTACTGACACCATTTGAATACCTGCGTCCAATTCCACTGTTCAAATTTACTTTAAATTATGTAACAAATCTCCCATTTGGAGGCACTTGGGTCATTACTAAATGCATGTACATTGAAATGCAAACTTGTTAGCAGTCTTATTAACAGTTTTAATTAAGAAGTTTGGCATGTGCTGTGCACGCTCACACATGGGAAGTAGCTAATCTTTTGCAGGGATGTCAGTGATCTTGGCTCTGAGCAGCAAGCATCCTTTCTCAGAGCTCTAAACTCTGCAAGAGCTCACAGCGAGCCTTTCCTGGAGATTCCAGAGACAGTGAAAGAGGCTGGCAGTCTCACTTGTCTTGGTTTGAGAATGGGCCTCCCAGCTGATGTGCACAGAGCAGAGCCTCAGACAGCCCTCTCTCAGGATCTGCCAGAGAACGCACAATTCCCAAAGAGGCAGTGTGGGGTAGTGGAAGAGAACAAGCAGAGGAGGCAGAAAGGCAGGGGTTAGTCTCTTGGGCTCCCTGAGCCTTAAGTCCCTCGCCTATAAATAGGGGATAATGGTACATTTTATAGCATCATTATGAGGATTGAATGAAATAATGTGAGAAAAGTGTTATTCAGGAGTAGATTCAGCTCAAGGGATGACAACTCCAAACTAACAGTGGATGAACAGGATACAACTTGTCTCTCCCTCCTGTAGGTGTGTGTGGGGTCCACAATGTTCTATTCTGTTACTAGTCTGTGGTGTGTGTGTGGGTCCATGATGTTCTATTCTGTTGCTAGTCTGTGGCGTGTGTGGGGGTCCATGATGTTCTATTCTGTTGCTAGTCTGTGGCGTGTGTGGGGGTCCATGATGTTCTATTCTGTTGCTAGTCTGTGGCGTGTGTGGGGGTCCATGATGTTCTATTCTGTTGCTAGTCTGTGGCGTGTGTGGGGGTCCATGATGTTCTATTCTGTTGCTAGTCTGTGGTGTGTGTGGGGTCCATGATCTTCTGTCCTGTTACTAGTCTGTGGTGTGTTTGGGAGCCATGATGTTCTATCCTGTTGCTAGTCTGTGGTGTGGGTGGGGTCCACGATGTTCTATTCTGTTACTAGTCTGTGGTGTGTGTGGTGGCCATGATGTTCTATCGTGTTACTAGTCTGTGGTGTGTGTGGGGTCCACGATGTTGTATTCTGTTGCTAGTCTGTGGTGTGTGTGGTGGCCACGATGTTCTATTCTTTTACTAGTCTGTGATGTGTGTGGGGTCCAGGATCTTCTGTCCTGTTGCTAGTTTGTGGTGTGTGTGGGGTCCACGATGTTCTATTCTGTTGTTAGTCTGTGGTGTGTGTGGGGTCCACGATCTATTCTGTTACTAGTCTATGGTATGTGTGGTGGCCACGATGTTCTATCCTGTTGCTAGTCTGTGGTGTGCGTGGGGTCCACGATATTCTATTCTGTTACTAGTCTGTGGTGTGTGTGGTGGCCACAATGTTCTATTCTGTTGCTAGTCTGTGGTGTGTGTGGGGTCCACGTTCTATTCTGTTGCTAGTCTGTGGTGTGTGTGGGGTCCACGATGATGTATTCCGTTACTAGTCTGTGGTGTGTGTGGTGGCCACAATGTTCTATTCTGTTGCTAGTCTGTGGTGTGTGTGGGGTCCACGATGTTGTATTCTGTTGCTAGTCTGTGGTGTGTGTGGGGTCCACGATGTTGTATTCTGTTACTAGTCTGTGGTGTGTGTGGTGGCCATGATGTTCTATCGTGTTACTAGTCTGTGGTGTGTGTGGGGTCCACGATGTTGTATTCTGTTACTAGTCTGTGGTGTGTGTGGGGTCCACGATGCTGTATTCTGTTACTAGTCTGTGGTGTGTGTGGGGTCCACGTTCTATTCTGTTACTAGTCTGTGGTGTGCATGGGGTCCACGATGTTCTACTCTGTTGTTAGTCTGTGCTAAACAGGCCTTGACCTCATGAGCTGTGATAGCAGAATCAACTTTCCCAGCAGCAGAATGGAAGATGGATGAAGGAATTTAAAAATGAGGGCAAAGTGTGCAAATGTGGGGCGTTTCCCAAAGTGTCCACATAGCATTTATTTACTACTGGCCAGAACCTAGCATTAAGGGACATTGGGGCTATCATCTTTATTCTAGGTAGCCTTCTACCCAACAAAACTGGTTATTACCATGGTGAAAGGAAGAGCAGATAATGGAGGACAACTCCATTTTGCCATAGCCCCTGTCAGTTACTGGCTTGTGAGTGAGTCTATGTTAAAGACCATCCGATCTTTCTCTTTTTCTTATTCTCAAGCATATACCTGTGTACTTCTCAAGCACTGTAAGTACATTCTCCTCGAGTCACAACTCAGTCTCTGCAGCTCATAGGCATCCTTACATCAGGACTCAGGGGCTTGTCTCAGTTCTCTGTGCCCCAGCAGGAAGCTTTGCTTGGCTCTGGTTCGCAGTCAAGTGCCCGGGTCTCCGGGGGTGCGTCTGCTCAGATATACCCAGTGTCAGGACCTCATCAGGCTTTGATCAGGTACAGTGAGTTCTTGGCTGTGAGGGGAGGACAAGCCTAGGTACATGGTGACTTACTTCCTAAATGAATTCCAACCACTAAACTGCCTGTCTGACTTAGAAACCTGTCTTCAATCGTACTGGTCCATGGACCCTGGGGGGAATGAAATAGGCCACAGGAGCTATAGGAAAGGGAGACAAATTCCTGTTCTTATCTCTTGCTTCTGCACTTCCTCACTATCCTTCATGCCTCTCTTTGGAGCAAAATCGCATGTCACACATCTGCACAGGAAGCGCTCTGTTCCCTCCCTCTCTCTCACATGCACACACCCACTCACCCCACTTCTCAAATGCAATCTCCCATCCAGTGAGAGAGGTGGGCCTGGCTCAGGGGTAGGGAACTGTCCTCATCTGGGAAATGGAGGGAGTGGATGCCATTGTCGCTAGGGCCCTTCCTGCTCTTACCTCTTTGAATGGTAGCGGGTCCTAGGGTGGAAACACTCCAAGCCTGACTTCCCGCAAGCATGAGATCAGTTTGTAGCAGTATTTTATCTGACAGTTTTTAGACAACAAATGATCATAAACTTTCCCAGGCATCAGCAACTGCTCCAGCCTGGATTCCAACAGGAGCTTAGCAATGCCGCTGTCAGCTTGAGAAGCAGAGGGCTATGGAGCCTCACAGATGCAGTTCAGAGCCTAGGCCAGCGTCCCCCGAGGTCTGTAACCCAGTGCGAAGCAGCCGGCTTGTCTGAACCTTAGTTTCCCTATCTGTAATTAAATGAAGAAGTCTTCTCTTATGACGATTTTAGGGTTGAGTGAGATCGTGTAGGCCGTGCATGGAACACAGTGCCTGTCCCATGGTAAGCGTTCAGTGGATGCTCGTTCTCCGCTAGCAAAGAGAGGAACAAGGTAGGAAAAAATACACCAAAGAGGGAAAGTCACATGGGAAGCTTTATAAAAGTTAAAAGAATGGTACGTGTTAACGACAGTTTAATGCCACCTCAAATCCCCTTGGCTACTTTTCCGTGGCACTTTGAACACAGCAAATGCTTCCGCCCAAGGCTCATGACTGACCTGTGAAATGAGCTGAGAAACGAACACTGTTTCCAAATGTAAAAGAATATTGCCACCTGGTGGCCGGACTCATGTGCTCTTGAATTCTCCGAAATCGTTTCTTCCCTAGCTTCCAGTCCTAGATGGATTTTTAAAGTGATTTATAAGTGGCAAGGCACTATTCAAATGATTTTATTCACATCACAAATGGCGTGCCAACTACCTGTCAGGTACTTGTCTGGGCACTGGGACCCAATAGCCAATAGTCGGGGAACGTCCTTGCTCGCACAGAAATTATGTCATTCGAGAGGCTATCAGATAAAAACAAGCCACCAGCTCCATCAGGGAATTAGTGCAGCAGTGTGTTATGACAGAGAGACTGAGCCATGTGAAGTGGCACAGGTAGGCTTCCAGGCAGCATGACCCTCCGAGTGCAAAGATTCATCAGGAATGCGAGGTACCATTGACAAACAGAAAGAATGGGTAAGGGACGAGGGGGTAAGTGGCCACAGGTGAGCTCAAAGAGGGAGCCAGATTGCTTAGGGATACACCAGCCTTAGTAATTAATGGGTTTGCACTTGATCCTGGGGTTTGTTGGAGAGGGGTAAGCAAGGCAACTAAAGTATTCAGATTTACATTTTTTATTTTTAAATTTTTTTTGCCTTTTTAATATGATTTTTATTTTTACACTGTGCCATCTTTTTGTTAAAAAATTACAGCTTTAACGTACACAGTTTATCCATCCTCTGTCTAAGATCAAGTATAGTAGCTGTTCTTACCAGATTTATATTTTTAAAGCTGTCTGTGGCTACTGGATGGAGAATGGAATGTGGAAAGTCAAGGGTGGAATCAGGGAGACCATTCTGGAAGCCTAGGTGTTAGCTTGGCCAGGTGGTGGTATTGGAGGTGGAGAGATGTCGGTGCATTGGAGATTGGTGTTGGAGTTTACTGTACCTTGTCAATGGATTGGAGAAAAACAGAGAGATCAAAGGCAACTTCCACATGGTTGATGCAGGAACTAGGGAGAGGCCTGTGGTCATTTACTATTTTCCCAGAAGCTGAGTCTATAATGATTTTTAAAGAAGAATAAGCAGTTTCACAAGCTGTACAGCTTGTTTGTTTCGCACACTCAAATCCCAAAGTAACTAATGTGAGTGTCTCATTGCCTCAGAGAACACAGCGCAGCACTGAAATTCTTCAAGACCTCACAAACAGGAACATCTCTGACTTCTTGGTAAAAACGTATCCTGCTCTTATAAGAAGCAGGTAAGAAGAGACCCTTTTATACTTGTGGTCCTGGCTCCTTGTAGAAAATATTGAGTAGGGATGGACGATAATTTACTCTTGTGATTTATCAATGATCCAGGAAGCAGAATATTTTCTTTTGTATATAATTTGAGGACCTCAAGTTATATAGAAATAAAATGCAACTAAAGATTAATTTTGCTTTTTTGTTTTTATGTTTAGGGCAAGCAGTCTTCAAGCTTAACCCAACCCATGCATTATTAAAAGCGACATCAGAAAAGTATAGAATTTATTCAATAATGCAGCCTTCTATTTTAAGAAATTGAGATAGACAAAGCTTGGAGGGAGGAATAAAAGGGAAATGGTGGAAAACAAAAAGAGTAGCAGAAGGAAAAAGGAAGAAGACCGGAAAACATTAGCCCAGGTAGAAAAGGTGCAACAGCGTAGTATCTGAGGGTGTCCACCAGGGAGGATTAGCCAGGTAAACTGTTGCTGTCATGCTCTCACTGCAAGCTATCATCTAGCAACATGCCCTCTGAAATGCCATGACACACTTTAATAGGGACCTAGTTCTCTCGGCTCTGCAGCCGTTCTTATCAAGCCTCATTCCAGGATCGAGCAGCTTAGACAGCTCCTATCAGAGCAAGCGGCTAGACAAGAGCTCACAATGGAGAGAGGACCGGAAGCAAGGTCCAGTCCTCACATGCTCTTGGGCTTTAAAATAAAATGTAACGTCTAATTTTAGTAGTACTTTTAATTGCTTCCAATACCGGAGCCTTAAACAAGGGATAAACAGACTCAATTAACTAGAGCACACTACAGGTGGGAAGGCAGTTAGCAAAGTGAAGAATGTCAGCAAGCCCCAAGTAAAAGCATTGTGTGTAGAGATGATTCTGCGATGCAGTAAACAGCAACCAGCCCAAACGTTTTCAGCAGCAAATTTGCAGTATGGAATTTTGGCTTTTTGTGTTGATGGTTAATGATGATGGTTCATGAGCTTGAACACAGAGGTCTAGAATTGGTGTCTGCTCATTTCCCATCTTGTCATTTATCCCTAACTATCTGAAGTCAGCGTCTTACCTTTAGGCTGTAAGTCAGGACTTCTAATCTGTACAGATGGGTGAGGCAGAATATGTTCTTTTGTATATAATTTGAGGACCTCAAGTTATATAGAAATAAAATGCAACTAAAGATTAATTTTGCTTTTTGTTTTTATGTTTAGGGCAAGCAGTCTTCAAGCTTAACCCAACCCATGCATTATTAAAAGCGACATCAGAAAAGTATAGAATTTATTCAATAATGCAGCCTTCTATTTTAAGAAATTGAGATAGACAAAGCTTGGAGGGAGGAATAAAAGGGAAATGGTGGAAAACAAAAAGAGTAGCAGAAGGAAAAAGGAAGAAGACCGGAAAACATTAGCCCAGGTAGAAAAGGTGCAACAGCGTAGTATCTGAGGGTGTCCACCAGGGAGGATTAGCCAGGTAAACTGTTGCTGTCATGCTCTCACTGCAAGCTATCATCTAGCAACATGCCCTCTGAAATGCCATGACACACTTTAATAGGGACCTAGTTCTCTCGGCTCTGCAGCCGTTCTTATCAAGCCTCATTCCAGGATCGAGCAGCTTAGACAGCTCCTATCAGAGCAAGCGGCTAGACAAGAGCTCACAATGGAGAGAGGACCGGAAGCAAGGTCCAGTCCTCACATGCTCTTGGGCTTTAAAATAAAATGTAACGTCTAATTTTAGTAGTACTTTTAATTGCTTCCAATACCGGAGCCTTAAACAAGGGATAAACAGACTCAATTAACTAGAGCACACTACAGGTGGGAAGGCAGTTAGCAAAGTGAAGAATGTCAGCAAGCCCCAAGTAAAAGCATTGTGTGTAGAGATGATTCTGCGATGCAGTAAACAGCAACCAGCCCAAACGTTTTCAGCAGCAAATTTGCAGTATGGAATTTTGGCTTTTTGTGTTGATGGTTAATGATGATGGTTCATGAGCTTGAACACAGAGGTCTAGAATTGGTGTCTGCTCATTTCCCATCTTGTCATTTATCCCTAACTATCTGAAGTCAGCGTCTTACCTTTAGGCTGTAAGTCAGGACTTCTAATCTGTACAGATGGGTGAGGGGAGACGGCAGCCTTCACTCCACACTGGCGTGGCATTACCATGTTTTCTGACTCTGATGTGGCACACTGGCCTGACATCTGACTTGACAACAAGGCCACTCAGAAAGCCCAGCATGAGGGATGTGACTTGAAGAGGAAAATGTGTGCATTCTGGGTCTGCCCTGGGGCTGGGTGGCTTCTATACTGTTTGGATATTAGGAACTGCAAAAATACCACTGAAGACTAAGACAACCCAGCAGTTGCTGAGGAAGGAACATTAACAGTGTTGCTATACTTGTAGTATTAATTGCACTTTATTTTGACTTTCAGCTTAAAGAGCAAATTCTGGGTCAATGAACAGAGGTAAGAAACTATTTTTATGAGAAATTAAAATCTCAGATTGGTCCATGTAAAATAATTGCATATACAAAAACACACCTCAAAGCCCTGGGGTGGGCTACTCTGTATGTGCTCAGGAATTCACAAGACATGGAAGGCTATCAGCTGAAGGACACCCCAGACTTAGAAGATGCTTACAGTGTATCTCCTCGGGGGGTATAAATGGCAGATGGCATTCCCTGATAAGGAGTTCCACAGCATTCTCACCCAAAGGGGGCTCTAAATTCTCCAAGTATGTAACAGTTTAGAATACTCCAGTGAGTGGGACTCAGACCTAAGCTCTGGCCTATTTCCTTTTAAGCTTCAGGAGTCAAGCTCAGGCCTAGACTCACCCCATTCCTGAAGCATCCTGGGGACTCCAGTGGTTCCAGAGATTTGGAGAATCTTTAAGGAAGTAGGCCACTGGAATGCGTGCAGGGCTGATGCTGACTTGCTTTCCTGGGCAGATCTAGACTATAAAAGTAAAATCTAGTTTTTCTCATAAGGAAGTGGTGGGGCTTCAGCTGAATCAGAAAGTGGGAGTAAGAGGGCAATTTGAGGCCCTGAGAAATAAAGATCTCCTTTGTTTTATTTAAGTGGCAAGTTACATTTGTTAAGTTGCAGGATTAGCTTTTGTCCTGCCATAGAAGAGTTTTAAGTCATAGCATGGCATGCTCGGATTGGTGTTTTAGCCCAATCCTTTTAGGCTTCCAGCATAGTACAGAAGATGGAACCCAGGTTAGGCCGCTATTAAAGAAGCTAGAGCAAGAATCCAGGGAGGAGATGGTGGGGCCTGCCCAAGCCAGGGTGGGCTGACAGATACTGAGAGAGAGGGACAGCAGGACCTGGTCCTAATTAGATGAAGGTGCTTCTGGTGCTGCCAGAAGTACCCAGCACAGAAATCGTTGGCTGAGGTGGGAGAGGAGTTAGCAGAGACTTCAAAGAGAAGATGACTATGGAAGATGAGTTGGAGTTGGCCACACGGTCAAGAAAGGGAAAGCCCACCCCAACACCCCGCTCCCCCACCCTGGAAAGCTATCAGCCCACAAAGGCAACTGAGACCTTCTGGAGCTCCAGAAATGATTCCGCACGGCCACACTGTGCCACTCAGAGGAAGGTATGAGAGAGGGAAGGCAGAGAGTTGGGAGAGGCAGAGACCAGACTCAGAAGTATCTCGTGCACCAAGACATCATCCTGGAGGCAGTAATGGAGAGAGCTAAAAGTTGGTTTGTAACGTGAAGCAATGTTGCTTGCTGGTCTAGACAAACCCCCTCACAACGAATGTCCAAAACCATGCATAGTACCAAACCCCACACATACCATGTTTTCTCCCATACATATAAGCCTATGATCAAGTTTAATCTATAAATTAGGCACAGCAAGAGATTAACAATAGTTTCTAGTGATAAAATAGGACAACTCAGGATACCATAATGAAGTTACACGAAGGAACTTTTCTCTTTCTTTCTTAGTGCACTATCTTGTACTATAGTCACCCATTTTCAGACTATGGGTAACTGGGACCATGGGAAGCAAAAACCATGTAATGGGGGCTTTTATACATGTTTCCCCCATAGAAACACAGAGAACTACTGGTGGCGTGAAGTTCATGACACCGATGTGAGACTTTCTTGTCGCTTTGGCAGGTATGGAGGAATCTCCATTGGAGGAAAGCTACCAGTCCCCCCTTTCACTGCGGACACACTCGTGGGTTTTTTAAGTGCTCTTGGCCAGATGATGAACGTGAGCGGGGTATGTAAAATAGACTGGAGATTTGAGAAGGATTTTTTGACTTGCTTAATTATCATAAAATACAAATGATCATGAATGCCCCAGGAAAAAAAAATCCTCTTGTTGGTTTCTATGTTTTTTTAGGGTCCTATCACCAGAGAAGCTTCTAAAGAAATGTCTGATTTCCTTAAATATCTAGAAACTGAAGACAATCTTAAGGTACAAGACAACTTGTGTAAGTTGCCCCAGAGCTAAAAGTACACAAGAGCTGATTATTTTATTTTTATTTCCCCAGCTAACTAAAGTCCATCCCTTCTCTTGCTGAAATTGAGAAGGCATGTCTTCCAGCAGCCAGATCCTTCCTCCTCATAGTCTTGTTCCTGTCGCTATATATTTTTTCTTTCTTTAACAGCTGTTAGTGCAGTGTCTCGGGTGTCCTATCTAGCCCAGTCTAACAAAGCTCTGTCTCCGCCTTCTAGGTGTGGTTTAACAACAAAGGTTGGCACGCTATGGTCAGCTTTCTCAACGTGGCCCACAATGCCATCTTAAGGGCCAACCTGCATGAGACAAGGGACCCTGAGGAGTACGGAATCACCGTCATCAGCCAGCCTTTGAACCTGACCAAGGAGCAGCTCTCGGAGATCACAGTGTAAGCCACCGGCCCCCAGACTCACAGCTCCCTTGCCACCTTCTACCCTCTTTGGAAACTGCAAGGGGATTTTTGCTCCCATGAAGCACTGGGCTGGATGGTAACATTGTTTAATCAGACACATAGGAGAGAAAGACTTTCAAATGCTTGGTCATTCTTTCTCCTCATATTCGTTTAGAAAGTAAGTTCATATTTTGGTTCTATTTCCTTTTGGCTCTTAGTAATGAGTTGCTCATGAAGTTTGCAGATATTCCACTTGCCAGTTTGCAAAAATGACTGCTGGGAACTGGAGAAGGTCAATAAATCATTCATCTCCCTCATAGTAATTATCTTAGATTCCGGTCATTTCCCTCAGATGGTCATGCTTTGGAAATGCAGACAGATCTTTGCCTTCCTCGGGCTTAGGTTCTTACAGCACACCTTCAGGCAGTCAGAACATCAATCTTGTGCATTTTGGAATGACATGTTGGGTCTCTTTGAGGCCTATGTAGAGGAAGGGTTGGTAGGAGTGCCTTCGTTAGTGCAAACTTCTGGAAAGTTGGGGAGTCCTGACCTCACCATCCCAGTATACTCTGAGTGCTACTGAACACACCAGCGTTATCTGCTAAACTTGGGCCTTGGCACCCTGGTGCCTTCCTCTGGACACCCTCGGGGACTCTAGACTGTCCTATGTTAATTCCCACTCTGCCCAAGTTTCTGTACTTTTGTCCAACACTTCTGAATATAAAATAGGAGTGAATATTTTATTAATATGAAAATAGAAGTGTTTCTATGATTATAAATAGTGTTTGTTTGTTAAATTTACGTAGTAGAGAGCCTTAAGAATTTATCTATAACTCTACCTAGGTTAGAGTGTTTCCTTTAAACATTTGTATGTGTTTCCCCCCATTCATTTGTGCTGTGTTTACTTTGTTCATGGATGATACCCTCTGTAGTTTTATCAGGTCAGGGACTACTGCCTTTGTGAGGATTAATAAAAGTGTTCCTTTCTATAAGCGGAACCTTATAGAAAGAACCTCTGGCCCACACCAGAGGTTCCTGCTTGTACACAAAGTTCAGGCTGAATTTCTTTTAAACATCTATTTAAACATTTTTTTAAATGATTTTCAAACTGTTGGGTTCAGGACTTGAACTGTGGTTGGCCATGTGGGAACCCAGCACCTTAACCACCACACCACCTGCTGGCCCCAGGCTGAATTTTAGCTCCTATTTACCCCTTAGCCAGATGGTTAAGAGTGAATATGGAAGATTTATTGCTGAGGGAAGCAAGCCAGACTATGAAGGAGAGACATTGTATATCTCCATTTAATATATACTGACTGTCTGCACTCTATGGCTGAAACTGAAAGATTAGAGGATATAGAAACATGGAAACTGGTTATAGATACTGGATATAGTATGGGAAGAGGGTGAGAGAAGGAGGAGAGTCTGAGGAAAGACATTAAGGAGAAAATAGAGAGACAAGACAGTTATGGGACACAGAAATGGATTATTATCTTTTGATAAAAACACATATAATATCCCAACTGGACTGGTGAGAAATGTATTTATGTTGGAAAATTCACTTTATAAGCTAAGTGATGTATAGTGATTGGATATATAAAAGAAATTAAAATAAAATAAAATATATTAAATTCAAAAACAAACCAAACCAAAATAATAACAAAAAAAGTGAACATAGCCAAATTCCTCCTGTATAAGCTTACTTGTTCTTTTCACTTAAATTTACATAATGAATATTGCTCTTTTAATGATATGATTCTGGAAATGTTGTTTATCATGATCTTTAGTTTTTCTAAGAAAAGATAAAAACTTCACAGAACATATGATCATCTACATAGAAAATATGAGAATCAGGCCAGCAAGTTGCATGGTTGTTAAAGGTGTTGGATTCCCACATTAACGACTGCGGTTCAAGTCCCGAACCTGGTAGCTTGCTTTCTCACTTTCCCTTTTTCTCTCTCTCTCTGATCAAATTAAAAAATAATAATAACAAATGGAATTAAATAAACAAGTAATTCTTAAAGAAAGAAAATTTAAGAATCTATACACACATTATTAAAGCTAAGAAGAGCATTACAGTACAAGAGATTAATATAAACATCTATTTCTTTAATTTTTTTCAGTTATGATTTCCGGTTTACATATACTCAATGTATATCTTTGTGGGCTACAGGTTGGTTTTGTAAGGCAGACATATAGTGTATTATAATCAAATAAAAGATTATACATATTTGTCTTCTTCAGCATTGAACATTACATTATGTTGTGTACATTTGTCAATTCTGCTAGTTTGGTTTTTTTTGGAATATGTATTAAATTGTCTACAATTTTATGCTCCAATGTGATAGCCTCTTCTCCTTATTTACCTACACTTTCACATTTTTTACAGATTTTCTCATGAGTCCCCCAGCTACCCTCCCCAAGCAGTGCTTGATATTTATTGCTACTATCTATGTTTTCAAGTTCTTTAGTTTCCACTATAAAGTGCAGACATAGGAATTCTAGAAGACATACGTATCTGTTTCTATACAGTGAACACTTAGAAAATGTAATAAAAAGGAAGGTTGTCTAGAAATATTCACAGGAAAAAGAAAGGCCACCCACAAATACTCACTCGAGCTTGATCCAGATAGATAGGGATGACTGAGTGGAAGGACCATAACCCAGGCAGGGAGTTTCCCCAAACCTAACTTCATATTTCCTACTCTGCTCTTCCTTCTCCATCTCTGTCTCCTCATGTCTCTGATCCTGATGCAGGTTGACCACTTCAGTGGATGCCGTGGTTGCCGTTTGTGTGATTTTCGCCATGTCTTTCGTCCCAGCCAGCTTCGTCCTTTATTTGATACATGAGAGAGTGAACAAAGCCAAGCACCTGCAGTTTGTCAGCGGAGTGGGCCCCATCACCTACTGGCTGACCAGCTTCCTCTGGGACATTGTGAGTGTCAGGCTTCATGGCTTCCGTGGGCTCATGGTGGCTCGTAAGTGTGCTCATGGTGGGAGGGTTTCTTGTACTGTCACCGCTGTTGGCAGGTGCTGGGTGGAGGCTTTGTCCAAGTGCTGTCCCTTGACGTCTTCTTAGAGAGGTACAGAGCTAGGGGCAGATGGTGGCATAGCAGTAAAATACAACAATCCGTGATACTGGACCACACAGGAAAGTTCTGATTATGTACAGAACCTTCCTGAAAACTCAAAGCATGCACATTCCCATGACCTGGGGCTTGCTGAGGCTGGGGTGAATTCACAGTATCAAGACTGTGTTGGAGATACTGTCTCTCTGTCTCTTTCACTCATGTAAGAAAGAAATAAATAAAAACTTTTAAAAATGAAAAGAAAAAGTATAGGCACAGAGCAAGAAGCCCAAAGTCTGTGTGTTCGATCTTTCCTTAACATTCTTGGCCTTCACACTTGTGAAGATTACAGGCCAGTTATTTTACAGAATATCCTACAGAATGTCCTCAGGCTGCCTGAGGACCAGATTGAGCTTATACACATTTGGCAGCCATGTCTTTACTTTGCTTTTACTGCATCCTAGCAGGTGGATTTTGATTGCAATTTGTCTTGATACTGATGATGTTCACTTTGGTCATTTAAGAAGGTGTCTGCTAAGCCTCTCCGCTGTATAATTAATCAGAATGTGGGGGAGAAGTGCTTAGAGGATACGTAAATACCATGTTATTATCAATTTTCCACTTATTCATTTGTCTATTTATATGTATTTGCATTCATGGTTCCTATATTAAGAAATAGGTGATATTAGATTATATCATCATTACTTATCTTGATATTTAGATTATCCCCAGTGTGGCCAGTGGAGCCTCTTCAAGGTGGCTTCTGTATCTTCTTGATTGGCGTCCCCATCCTTCCTGAGTAGCTCCATGCTCTCTGACACAGCAAGGTGTTCCAGGCTCAACCTGCCCATTCCCCCACCCCTTCCCTGGAATCAACCATCCCCTGATTTCTCACAGCAGAAAATGACCCTCACATTTCAAGATCTGGGTACTAGAGATGCTCATTGCCACTGGAAAATCATCGGTCCCAGGCCTTCTCGTAGGTGGAGGGAGAAATATGTTATAGAAATACACACATTTACATCTGTGTTTCTCTATACATTGAACACAGTGGGCCCCCCAAAACCTGTAGCTCCAATCCAACACCACAGGGCTCATTCTAGTTTTCCATCCTTCCCTGTAACACCCTTCTCCCAGAGTGAGAAACTGTCTTCTATCATTCCCACTCACTATCCTACCTGAGCGGTACGCCTGTATCTGCACATACTAAGTGCCCATCTCTGCACTGTCCCCTCCCATGGGGACTCCTCCTCTCCCTGCCCCAGTTGCCCGCATTGCATGGAGGTCCTTCTCAGTCTGCCCTGGCTCTGATGCCTTCCTCTTTCCACTGGGACACCAACACCCCCACACCTGGCTGCCCTCTCCTGGATGGTCTCCTCACCCTACTTGGGGTTTTGTCCTGCTTGAGACTACTGTGGCTCTTCCTCTCACTCTACAGTGGCTGCCCACTTTTCTGTCCCCTACCTAATGGCCTTAGGACTGAATTGTTTAGAAAGGGTGTCATCATTTATTTGAGCTTCACGGAGCCAAGTACTGTAAGATTTTCTGAATTCTGGAGACACACTTAGAATCAGCTCTACCTCATGACCAATTCAGAGAGTGAGAGCTCAGGTGGAATTTCATCATTGACTTTTGAAAGATATAGACTGAAGGTTCCCTGAGTCAGGAAGTGGAGCATGGGGTAGGGTAGGAAGACTAGGGTTAGCCTAACTTACTAACCAAGAGCTAGTTAGACAAATGGAAGCAGAATCCCAGGCCCTTAGAGTTGGAGGAACCCATTTCCTTTCATCTTATAGGAAAGGAAACAGGAGTCCAGGAAGTTTTGTGACTTGCTCTCCCCTCTCTCTTCAAGGCAAATTACTCCGTGAGTGCTGGGCTGGTGGTGGGCATCTTCATGGGGTTTCAAAAGAAAGCCTACACTTCTCCCAACAATCTTCCTGCCCTTGTTGCACTACTCATGCTGTACGGGTGAGTTGTCGTTGTATCGTGGTAGCTAATGCCACCAAAGGGAAGCCAGAGGAGGGGGCATTTTCCTCTGACAAAACCTGGGCTTTCTAGAGGAAATGAGAGGAGCTCCGCATGGTCTGAATCTTCTTTCACTCAACCCATTCCACTGATTTCCCAGTTCTCACCCGGCTCTGACTTTGATTTATCTGTGGCCAGTCTGTCCATCTCTATCTCTGTCTGTACTGGCCAAGAGTTATTTGTACACAGTAGAAGACTCCTGCTCAACAACTTCTCCTGAGCCAGGAATGGAAGGTTGCACAGGAAATCAGTCCAGGAGAATTACAAAGCAAAGCATGCAACTTTCTGTCCCAGGCCTACCTCATACTACATGTGTAAACATGGACAAGCAATTTGCCCATCTGGACCTCATGAAAATAATGATGGCTGACCCTTCCCGTATAGGCCAGTAGTCTTGCCAGAGCTGTGGTCTCTATCTCTAGGTAGAATTCAGAACCAACGTAACTATGAAACTCTCCAGGGAACTGTCAGCTCTGCTTCGATGATCCAGACTAGAGTGGAAAACACTGCAGGGTAAAGAAATCTCTGATGTGATGTATAAAGCTCTAAAAAGTGCAACATGCATATCCAGCTGCCATCCCATTTGCTCTTCACTAACCCCATGAGGTGGTCAGGACAGGCACTATTATCTCTATTTAAAAGTGAAACACAGAGACCAAAGGATGGAGTGTCTCTTCGGGTCCCCCTTGGTTTCTGGCCAGTTCCCCTCCACCTTGTGTGTGAGGGGAATCCATTCTATCTAGAGGTACAGCAGAGGGAATGGAACTTGGAACTGCATTTCACTGAGTGGTGTCATTTCTCACAGATGGGCAGTCATTCCCATGATGTACCCAGCATCCTTCCTGTTTGATGTCCCCAGCACAGCCTATGTGGCTTTGTCTTGTGCTAATCTGTTCATCGGCATCAACAGCAGTGCCATCACGTTTGTCTTGGAATTATTTGAGAATAACCAGGTGAGCACGCCTTCCTTGGCTGGTTGGGGTCATACTGGAGAGGAGGCACCGGCCAGGCAGAATCACAGGCACATGTAGGTAGAAGCTTCGTGCACAGGCGAGGGTTCCTTCCTGCCTCCCCCTCCGTCTCTTCCTCTTTCTCTCCTTATCTTCTTCCTTTTCCCCTCCTTCCTTCTTCTATTACTCCCTTCCTTCCTTTCTGCTTTCCTTCCTCCATCCCTCCTCTCTTTCAGCTCCTGAGTTTATTCTGTAAGTGATAAATGACCTCTCACGATAGGTTTGCTTAGTCCTTCAAGAAAGTTTCCCCAGGGACTTTGGATGTTGGGTTTACACCCACGCACACACACACACACCTACTCTAGTAGGTAATAAACTCAGGTGATTGCAAAAGTTATAAGGAACAAACAGACAGACAAGAAAAGCTCTCCTTACTGTTTTCCATTTATCCAGTCCCCTTCTCCAGAAGCATCCTCTCACTGAGTTTTTTTTACATGTTTCAGAGACATATTAGCAAATACGTATATATTTTTCCTCCCACATTCTTAAGCAAATTGTAGTACACTAACATATTACTCTACATGCAAGTTAATCCCTGAGGACAGGAATTTATGGTCTGAATAACTCCCTTTAATGAGCTATGAATTCCAGCTGTACTATTCATACCCTCTGACTTATCCCTGTCCAGAAGGAGATGACCAGATTGAATCCCTTTTTTTTTTTTTTAAAGGGGGTAGGGAGGATAACAGGTAGCATAGTAGTTAAGATGCTAGAATTCTATATGATTGACCATGGCTCAAGTCCCAGACCTGGTGCCTTGAAACTCATGCTGGGTGTTTGTGCATGCATGCCCAAAATCACAAGAAGAGAACAGAGGAGAAAGGATTGTGGCAGGGGCATTCCCCCTGGGGCATGGTTTTTCACTTTTCCTCTCTTTGTTTCTCTCTGTCTCTCTCTGGTGAGTGTACATCTGGTAAGTGTACATGCCCTATGGCAAAATCCTAATATAAAATTTTTAAAAATCAATAGCTGCTATAGGGCTGTCTTTACTACGTACTTCACCCCCTGTCCTAGCCTTCTGTGTCCCCAGCCTTCCTGGCCTATACCATCCTGGGAAGATTCAGGCTTACCCCAGTGCCTCTGTCCCCAGGCACCTCAGTAGCCTTTCCTTTCCTCATTTGGTATCCACATTTCAGAAGTGGTGCACGTAGGGTATCTGCACTGCGGTCCTGCGACCCCCACCTCCGTCCCTCCCCTAGGCCCTGTTGTGCAGAGGTCCTGTGGCCTCCCAAGAGTGATTCTTTCCAGACCTTGTCAAGCTTTCTGTGGCTGCTAAGCAAGAAATGAAACCCTATGCCCCATAAATAATAAGAAATATGGCAGTTTTTGGAAAGGGGAGGGATAAACAAAGTCAGCTGACAACCTGAGCATTCCGGGGACCTAAAGTCGCTGATCTACTTAGGCTCACAGCCCACTGAGCCTTAAGAGAGTGTATTACGTCAGAAGAATTGAACAGAAGCTTAACTCAGAACATTCTCTCTTTTGCATCCTCCCTGCTGCACACTTAGTCAGCATTTACTGAGCACTCCCCCACTCGCATGGAAGCTGGCTACTTTCATGTAAATAATCAGACAGACAGACAAGCAGAAATTCCCAGGTTTGTACCAGAGACCCCAGCGTGCTGTGGTGTCAGCAGGTGTTTGTAAGTGACCACCATGTAAGGCATGTGCTCACTCACCCTGCCCTCGGAAACTCCCACTACAGTCTGGAGAGGAACTACACACAGTGACTGACAGCAGCCTCCACACATGACCTCCCATAAGAGAATGGTAGAACAGCAAAGGAGTGAGGTGGATAAGAAGCTACCATCAGACTGGGCCAGAGGAGCTAGGCTATAGTTAGGGGAATCTTGGTGGAGGAAATTTAATTTAAACTGAGCCTGGAATATACAGGACTTTATTAATGCACCTAATAAATGCTTACTTGTGGAGAGTGACCAGTTTGAGTAAACATGGTGACTCTTATACGAAAATGCTATCTGTTATGGTCAGTATTGATACTGATATCGCAAAGCAGTATCAGGCTAAAGGACGCAACATGTGTCTATCAGATTTTGCCCTAAAAAGATTAGAAAAATTACATGGCGTTCATTGTTTTTACATTTTTAGATGATTAAAGCAACTGGCTTTACATTTTATGTTTTATTTTCCCATTTTCTGTCTTTTGAAAGAATAAACCTGAGGCCGGTTTGAGGTTGCAGCTTTTTCCACGACAGAAATCAGGCCCACCCGATTCTCTTTTTTTATACTTGTATGTCTTCGTGTGCTGTTGTTATGTTTATTTCTAATTTACAGAAAAACATGTTTAGCCGAGCAGGTCCCAGCAAGTAGTGCCCAAAGTGGGGGATATGTGGAGGGGGCCAATCTGACCATCTGCATACAAAAAGGCTATCTGCCTGCTGTGGTCAATATAGATACCGCAAAGCACTGTCAGGCTAAAGGAAGCCACATGTGTTTATCAGATTTCGCCCCAAAAAGATCAGAAAAATTACAGGGCGCCACTTGTTTTCCATCTTCAGATGATTCACATCCAAAAGCAACTGGCTTTATATTCCATTTCCTCTTCCCTCATTTTCTGCCCTTTAAAAGAGTAAACCTGAGGTTGGTTTGAGGTCATGGCTTTCTCCATCAGAGAAGTCAGGCCCAACGGATCCTCACTTTTCTACACTCGTATGTCTTTGTGTGCTTGTCGTTTCTAATCCACAGCACCCCCACTCCGAAAAATGAGTTCAGCAGAGCAGGTCCTGGCACCTCCTGTGATCCAGTTATTATACAACGTATTTAAGAGGGACAGTAAATTAATCAGGAGCCTGTCCCTGACCTCCAGGAAACCACTGACTAATAGAGCAAGAAGGCAGGTTAAAAATTAATATAGGTTGGCAGATGGCATGGTGGGTAAGGCACTAGACTCTCACATGGCTAACTGCGGTTCAAGTCCCAGACCCGGCAACTTGCTTTCTCACTTTCCCTTTCTCTTTCTCTCTATCTCTCGTTGGTAAAATTTAAAAATAATAACAACAAAGAAAATTAAATAAATAAATAATTGTTTAAAAAAATTAATCATGGGAATGTGATAATGTATGCAGTACTAACTTTGGACCAATATACAGTGTATTCATAATGGGAAAAATAAATTAATTAATTTTTTTTTTTAAAGTGGGCAAATGTAGAAGTGAAATAAGCCAGACTGTGAAAGACAAACATTTTATATCCCCACTCAGTATAAAACAATGTCTTTACTCTATGGCAGAAGTGCAAAGATCCAAAGATATGACAGTGGGGATGACAAGCGGGGGAGTGAGTAGGAGAGGGTGGACGAGAAGGTAAAGAAATAAACACTTAACAGATACAAGAATGTAACATTTTCTGTTCAAATGTTTTATACGGCAATACAATTGATTTGATTGTCATATACTCCATGTGTTTTGTTTGTTGTTTAAACAAAAAACAAATTTGTTTGCTATAGAATGCTATCTGTTATGGTCAGTATTGATACTGATATCGCAAAGCAGTATCAGGCTAAAGGACGCAACATGTGTCTATCAGATTTTGCCCTAAAAAGATTAGAAAAATTACATGGCGTTCATTGTTTTTACATTTTTAGATGATTAAAGCAACTGGCTTTACATTTTATGTTTTATTTTCCCATTTTCTGTCTTTTGAAAGAATAAACCTGAGGCCGGTTTGAGGTTGCAGCTTTTTCCACGACAGAAATCAGGCCCACCCGATTCTCTTTTTTTATACTTGTATGTCTTCGTGTGCTGTTGTTATGTTTATTTCTAATTTACAGAAAAACATGTTTAGCCGAGCAGGTCCCAGCAAGTAGTGCCCAAAGTGGGGGATATGTGGAGGGGGCCAATCTGACCATCTGCATACAAAAAGGCTATCTGCCTGCTGTGGTCAATATAGATACCGCAAAGCACTGTCAGGCTAAAGGAAGCCACATGTGTTTATCAGATTTCGCCCCAAAAAGATCAGAAAAATTACAGGGCGCCACTTGTTTTCCATCTTCAGATGATTCACATCCAAAAGCAACTGGCTTTATATTCCATTTCCTCTTCCCTCATTTTCTGCCCTTTAAAAGAGTAAACCTGAGGTTGGTTTGAGGTCATGGCTTTCTCCATCAGAGAAGTCAGGCCCAACGGATCCTCACTTTTCTACACTCGTATGTCTTTGTGTGCTTGTCGTTTCTAATCCACAGCACCCCCACTCCGAAAAATGAGTTCAGCAGAGCAGGTCCTGGCACCTCCTGTGATCCAGTTATTATACAACGTATTTAAGAGGGACAGTAAATTAATCAGGAGCCTGTCCCTGACCTCCAGGAAACCACTGACTAATAGAGCAAGAAGGCAGGTTAAAAATTAATATAGGTTGGCAGATGGCATGGTGGGTAAGGCACTAGACTCTCACATGGCTAACTGCGGTTCAAGTCCCAGACCCGGCAACTTGCTTTCTCACTTTCCCTTTCTCTTTCTCTCTATCTCTCGTTGGTAAAATTTAAAAATAATAACAACAAAGAAAATTAAATAAATAAATAATTGTTTAAAAAAATTAATCATGGGAATGTGATAATGTATGCAGTACTAACTTTGGACCAATATACAGTGTATTCATAATGGGAAAAATAAATTAATTAATTTTTTTTTTTAAAGTGGGCAAATGTAGAAGTGAAATAAGCCAGACTGTGAAAGACAAACATTTTATATCCCCACTCAGTATAAAACAATGTCTTTACTCTATGGCAGAAGTGCAAAGATCCAAAGATATGACAGTGGGGATGACAAGCGGGGGAGTGAGTAGGAGAGGGTGGACGAGAAGGTAAAGAAATAAACACTTAACAGATACAAGAATGTAACATTTTCTGTTCAAATGTTTTATACGGCAATACAATTGATTTGATTGTCATATACTCCATGTGTTTTGTTTGTTGTTTAAACAAAAAACAAATTTGTTTGCTATAGGGTGCGTGAGACAGAAAGCACAGAAACCTTGCCCACCTGCGGGGGGGGGAGGGGGGCCGAGGATGGCCACACCACAATCTCTTCTCCATTCTCCTCTTGAGATTTTGGACACACACACACACACACACATGCACTCAGTGTGAGTTCTAAGCGACCCGGTCTGGGACTCAAACTGCGATCAACTACTGCGATCAGCTACGTGGGGGGTCTAGCCATGTAACTATTCTGCCATCTGCTGGTTCCACTGTTTGTGTATTTAAAAAAAAAAAAAACATGTTATGACAAGCATTATATTACATAACATCCTCTGCCGTTGTAAGAGTTTTGACTTAATGTTACATTTCCTGTAAAACTGTGCTTTTAAAAGCAAACCGGAATTATGGTATCAGAAAAGCACAAATTTTAAGCCAGTATTAACTGAAATAGTATAATATCCACTTTTTAAAGATCTTTGTATATTACTTTGTGATATGTCCTCCCTGGTAACTTAAACAAACAAACAGAAAACCACTTTCTTTAACCAATTGCCAGTGCACCTTGTTAGAAAAAAATTTATATTCATAACTCTGGTGCACTTATTGTTTAAAATAAACTAACTTGTATATAAATTGTTGGTTAGCAGAAGAAAAATAAAGTTAACACAATGATTTAAAGTTATCCCCATGTTTATAATATTTTATTGATTGTACTTAAATTATTAAATTATCTTAAGCAAGGTTAAATTTTTTTAAATGTGCTTTACAAGTATACAGTAAATATATAATGAATATTGAATATAAATGAGAAATCATAAAAAAGTAAATCTAAAGAAATAATAATCATGGGAATATGGTAAGTGCTGTAAAATAGGAACTACTGTTTTACCGTGGGGATTTGGGAAGGCTGATGAAAGAAAGGGCTATTCGGGAAAACTTCCTGAAGAAGAGCAGGAATCTGTTTGAGAGAAGAAGGGAAAAGAGCATTCTGTCCTGCTAAGGGTGATAGATGATAGAAACCACAACAGCACGGGCGAGAGGCAGGAGAACTGCAAGTACTTCAGGACTTTCATACCAAGCCCCCAGGCTTCTACTTAAAGAATTCCTCCTATGTCCAGTCTGGCTATGAGGATGCCTTTGTCTGCAGACCATGCCTGGTCCTGCCCGCGATGGCCTCAGGGCCCAGGTCACTCCGTTCTGCCTCTCTGTTTCAGATGCTGATCAGGCTCAATGCTGTGCTGAGGAAGCTGCTCATCGTCTTCCCCCACTTCTGCCTGGGCCGGGGCCTCATTGACCTGGCGCTAAGCCAGGCTGTGACCGACGTCTATGCCCGCTTTGGTGGGTGACGGTTGAGACTTAGAAGCGTGGATCCTGGATCCATCCACTGAGGCTGAGAGGGCTGTAGCGGAGCTTACACATCAGACCTGCAGCTGGGCAGGGCTGGGCTGGGCTCAGGGTGTTGGTCTGAGTGTCCTGCCACCTAAAGGGCTCAAGGCGCCTCTGTTTCCATGGCTGAGGAGCCACAGGAGGGGCAGGGCAGGCTCTTACTTTGACTGGGAAGCCAAGATGAGGCTGGTGTTTGGCTCTTGCTTAATCTCTTTGCACAGGGCTAGTCTAGCTGGGCCAAGTGTTACAGGTAGGTCTGTAGGGGCAGCTGTGGCAGCTGAAGTAGACCCAATTCCTATTGATTTCTCCTGGCCTCCATCTCCAGGTGAGGAGCATGCTTCAAATCCATTCCAGTGGGACCTGATTGGGAAGAACCTGGTTGCCATGGCAGCAGAAGGGGTGGTGTACTTCCTCCTGACCCTCCTCATCCAGCACCGCTGCACCCTCTCCCGGTGGTATGTCCATGCCCTGACCAGCAGGCAGCTCAGCGCACCTAGAGCTGAGCTACACACCAAGGGCATCCCTTTCCTCAAGAGTCCCTTTCCATGCCAGTTGCTTACATTCCCAAGGCTTGACTTGTTCTGAATGACACAAGCAGAGAAGGGTTAAAATGGGCATGATAGAATTCATGAGAGTCTCCACTTGAAAATATTTGAGATACAGTGTTAGTTTCAGCTTCTGCCATTTCATTCTTCTTCTTTAATGACCAGATACATTTTAAAAATTAGGTGATAGCCTTGCAAATGACAATGGTTGTGGGATATCCAAGGAATTAGGAAATAAAGTTACGTATACGTGAGAAAACAAAGCAGGCCCTTTGCTAGAAATTTGGGAGTTGGACCAGGACAGAAGAGGAGAGTATTTGGAGACCTTGTGCCAGGTGAGTGCTGCCAGGAGCCCTGTGCCACGGTGAATGGGCAGTGATCACATTCCTCACCCCATCCCCAAATGCCTACGGTTGGTGGAGAAGATAGTGAGTGAGCTGAGTAGGAAGGGTAGGTGGGGCCCGATGACAGGGCTCTGGGGACTCCATCTGATGTGTGAGGGCTTTCGCCTATAGATGAAGAACATGGCAGGTTTGAGGCCTGAGTGATCTGAAGACAGCTCTGTTTTGAAGAGAAACCTCTATGGACTAAGAAAGTTTTACTATTACCTGCCCACAGTTTTAACTTCTCTGAGAGAGGTAGGCTTTGTTTTGTTTTTTAAGAATTTTAAATTTAATTAATTATTTTTTAAAAAATGTTTTGCACACTAGAGAGAGAGAGAGAAAGAAAGCAAGCCACTAGATCCAGGACTTGAACTGTAGTTGGCTATGTGGAAGTCCAGTGCCTTAACCACATGCCACCTGCTGGCCCCTGGACAGGTTCTTTTATGCCTGATTCAAATGACAAGCCAAACAGAGAAAAAAGTGTTTTCAAATGAATGGGTTTATTGCCGCACACGCATATCGAAGCAGAAAATAGGCAAATCCAGTCACACGAGTAAAAGATAAGTAAGTAACAGGAAGAAGAGCGGGCATATAAACACACTTTTGCTAATCACTAACCAATGTCATGCAACCATGAGAGGAATTTTCCACTTGACCCTAGAGATAAGTCCTTCAGAGTGACACTGGAATGGAACAGAATGTGTCAACAGCAACAAAGGGCAAAGGCTTTTCCCATCCGGCAGTCTCTGGCTGCATCTCTCTCATCACGTGGATTCTCACGAAGAGTGGAGTCCCAACAAGATTCCTATCTCAGATAGGAGTGTAGAGGCCCTTATTTGTATAGCCCCCCAAAGATGTGATGCCTCAGCTTCCCTATGTCACTTGTGAAGTCCCTGAGCACACCAGCTCATTTCATGTTGACGTAATGGCTATCAGCTCATTTTGCTCAGTTATGGCAATTATGACACAGTAAATTCTTGCTGAATTAGATTTGGGAAGAATTAAAACACCGTGAAATACGTATCACAACAGAGGTCAGGTTGACAGGATGGACTGGAGAACAGGAAGGCCTGATTGATAGTAACTCGCCTTTACTGAGTACTCGTCATAGAGGAGTTCCAGTAAAAACGGCTCCCAGGTTCCACGTCTTTATCCTAGGCACGGTAGTGGGTTCGTCTTCACCATAGCCCTGTGAAATGGAAATGATCTCCCTGCCCACCACGTAGCTGAAGGAGGAAAGGCTCGGGGAGGTCCTAATGATGTGCCCAAGGTCACACGTGAGGGCTGACTCTGGGAGAAGGCACCTGAACGCTGCCAAATGCCTCTCCGGCTGGGAGCCCCTTTCAGAATTTAAACTTTTAGGGGATGAAAGCCCAGGAGGGAGCCAAGCACGCCATATACCCAGCCCGATCCTGTCCTGTTTTCTTCCTCTAGGAATGCTGAACCCCCTAAGGAGCCCATTGTTGAAGAAGATGATGATGTGGCTCAAGAAAGACAAAGAATTATTAGTGGAGGAAGTAGCAATGATATCTTAAGGCTAAATGAATTAACCAAGGTATGAGAACAGGTACAGGTGGTTTGGAGGTGCTGGTTGAACCTATGGAAAGCACATGTTGCCATTTTCCTTCTATAAAACAAGTGATATGTCTATGCAAGCAGTTCGTTCTCGGAATTTTCTGTGAGGTCATCATCTCTGAATTATAATTCATCTCCCAGGAGCATCTAACTCCAATGCGTTTTCTCTGCTATTTATCTTGGGTACTGACACAGGGCCTCAGCGAGAGCTTCTCCAACTAAGTGTCACTAATCTTTGTTCTGTTTCTGCACAGCGTGGGTCAGTTTTGAGAATTCTCCATGCTCACTACAATTTGCTGAATGCGCATGTCAACATGTAACCTCCTCATGTTGGTAGTTTTCTCCCAAACCATCCTTTCTCTTTGCTCCCTCTTCCCCTCTCTGTTCTAGCCCTGCCTCAGTCCTCAGTCCAGTTTCTCTGGATCTTGCAGATTTATTCAGGCACCTCCAGCCCAGCAGTGGACAGGCTGTGCGTCGGAGTCCGCCCCGGAGAGGTGGGTATTCTGCAGACCACGTGTAAAAGGGCTTCAGAAAGTCAGTCCTTGGGCATGGCTCTTCTCCCCTATAATACAGAGCTCTCCAATGTGAACATAATGTAAGCCACATATGTAACATGAAAATTTCTAGTAGCCACTTGGGGAGAAAAAAAAAAAGAGTCAAAAGAAAACAGGTGAGATTAATTTTAGTAATATTTTATCTTATTCAACCTAGTCCAAATGTTACCATGTTAACCTGTAATTGATATGAAATTTCATTAATAAGACAAGTTACATTATTTCATTGTTACTGTTGTTGCTCTAAGTCTTCAAACTGCAGTGTGTGTTTTACACTTAGGGCTCACATTAATTGAGACTAGGTACGTTTCAAGGTCTCAGTAGCCACACATAGCTAGACCCTCGGTAGTGGCAGCCTAGGTCTGAAATACCTCCCCTAGACCACACATTTGCCCTGTGGCCTTGACATTCCAGACCCTCTTGGTCTATAGGTGAGTCCAGTTCTGTGTTTTCTTCTAGTGCTTTGGCCTCCTGGGAGTGAATGGTGCTGGCAAAACAACCACATTCAAGATGCTCACTGGGGACACCACGGTGACATCAGGTGATGCCATTGTAGCGGGCAAGAGGTGAGTACGCACTTCCTGTCTCAGGATGTCTCTCACAGGTCCAGGCCATGTCTCTGTCTCATCAGGAGAGTGATCATCAGACCTGTATCAGGGGGACTTTGAAACCCCGAAAGATCTGTGCAGAAAAGGGGGCTTTTCGGAGAAGATGATCCCAAAAGTCTAACATACAGATCCACTGGAAAATTGAACTGAACTATGACTATTAGGAGATTCCTCTGTTAGCAATGGATGCTTAGAAAGTTCTGGAAAGCAGTCAGTCTGTGGTGTTTAACCTCTGTGGGGTCATGCACTCCATTGTGCATCTGATTAACACTTGTACCCTCTTCTTATAAAGATATACCATTGCTTCCCACTACTTCCCTCCACACATCATTGTGAAAACTTTCAGGGAATTTACTGAGCCCCCAAGCACATTTATGATCCTGAAGGAGTCCCAGGATCCCAAGTTAAGAACCCCTATGATGAAGTATCTTTTCTAAATAAGGGTTGGCTTAAGGGCCCAGGTGAGAGGGGCGTAATCTGCATGGGTTATCTGTGTACTGATGGTTGGCTTTGCCAGACCAAGGAGCAGAAGGAAACACTGGCACGTGTCCTTGGACTCTGGAAGGTGACTGCTGCTCTCTGTAATAAAGTATGTTTAAGCAGGCTGTCTTCTATGGGATAGGACAGAGAGGTTAAACTTACACTTGTTTGCCTGTGGACTGTCTGCCCTTTGAACAGTAAAGCTTCCACACAGCAGGTGTGCCTGGAGGAATCCTCTGCCCTGATTTACAAATGGGCACTATTGAAATCTGCCCAGCATTTGCTTGACTGCGGCCTCCTTCCTTAGGCCATCCTCAATAAGGCCTGATGACCAATGGGCAGGGAGAGTCCTGAGCAAGCTTCACTGGCTCAGACAGATTGAATATGGTTCCCTGGCCTTTCATGGCCATCTCTGTTGGGTCTACTGCAAAGGGACTGCAAGGGTGGAGCCAGGTCATGACAGAGTCTACCTCATATGCAAATCCCCCTTAGTTTGCAGCCAGGTAGGTGACTTCATGATGGTAACAAAAGGAGTCATGGGGAGAGGGGGCCAGGGGAAAGACATAGTAGAAATTTACCATGACATCAAGGTACACAGTCTGATGTCCAGAAGGTAAAACGGGGCTGAAAGTCAGAAAGAAACTCCAGGTACAGGATGGGGTTTTTCTGGGGATAGCCCTAATGAATTTGGCAAAGTACCCTCCTTGCTTCCCTGGCTGGTCGTAATTTGCCCAACCCTACCTTTGGTGGCTTTTGTCATAATGGGGAACTGCATGGCCTCCTTTCCTTCCATCCTGTTGCATTCATCCTTTATCTCCCACACAAACTATAAAGAGAGGGGGACAAGAGTCGACCAAATAGCCTACGTACAGTTTATTTTTTCACTGAGGCAATGTATTCTTTGTGGGGCAGAATATATTATTCAAAGAGGGCTGACAGAACCCGATTTGCATTATCCCTGCTCCCTGCCAGCTCTGGGTGTTTGTCTGAACAGTTCCCCTTTCGCTGACTGCATCTCTGCCAACAGGTGCAAGTGAAGAAGTTTACTCCCATTGGGTGGCTTCTCTTCTCTCTATTTTCCAAATGTCTGAAAGGGATTAAAAATCACTGCTCATTTTCTTAAACCTGATCTTCTCTTTGTTTTTAAACTCTCCTATGAGGTGATTCAATATGAAACCAAAGCTGACTTTTGGTTAACAGGTATTAGTTTACCTACATATGAAAACTGGGAAGGATCTGGATTCGAAGCGTAGAACTCCTGAAGTTCCTCCTTTTCTAACAAAAGGCGCCGTGCTTTGATTCCCGGATGTGCACATTTCTGAAGCAGAGTGCCAGAAGAGAAGAGGCAGCTTTGTCCTGCCGGCAGCAGCGTCTCCAGCCTCAGCTCTGTTGTCACACTCACTGTGGAGGAGACTCATTGATTTTTCTTTTTCCTTTCAGCATTTTAACCAACATTTCTGAAGTACATCAAAGTATGGGTTACTGTCCTCAGTTTGACGCGATCGATGACCTGCTCACAGGGCGAGAACATCTTTACCTTTATGCCCGGCTTCGAGGTGTGCCAGCAGAGGAAATCGAGAGGGTAAAAAATCATTTGTTGTGGCCAGATAGGAGTTTAGTAAACTGGAAGTGACTAAACATTTAGATGTAGCAGATCGATTGAATAATTTATGGTGCATACACACAATAGTGCCTTATGCAGCTATATATATTTTTTTCCTGCTAACTTTCTTTTTTTTATTTTCTACATTAATTCACTATACACCATCACAACACACCAATGAATTTTCCATCCAAAATACACTGTGCATTGGTTCAATCAAGCACATCAACATACATGTTCTCTGCAGCTATATATTTTTTAAAAAGAAGAAGAAAGAAGGTTTCAGTGAAGTAATAGGGAGTTATTTCCATAGGTATTGTTAAGGGAAAAAAGCAAAGTACAAAAAAAAATATGTAGAATGTTACTTTTGTGTAAGAAAGTTGGGAAAAAGGAAAATGATTGTATGTCTGTTTACCTTTACAACTAGAGCAGAGGAAAGATAAACCAGAAAACAATGCCTTTAGTGATCAACAAAAAGGATTTGGGGAAGGAAAAGGGAAGGAAATGACATGCTTTCAGAAGTGTGTTAATGCTCTGCATGTTCGAAAAATAAAAACAAAATAAGGATGGAAAGGAGCCAAAGATGAAAACAAAAAGGAAACCTAACACTGAAAGCAGACTAAAACAAATGAACTAATTTTATTTCGTTATCATAATCAGACAGAAGAGTGGAAAAATGGGCCAGCAGGTAGTGTGGTAGTGAAGACAGCTGGATCTGACATGGCCATCTTCATGGTTTGAGTCCTGGATCCTGCAACTTGAAAATTGCACCAGGCACAAGTGTGTGCATACCCAAAATCCCAGAAAGAGAATGGAGGAGAAGGAATTGCGGTGTGGCCATCTACACTGGCCCTCTCTCTCTGATGATACATGCCATATAGCAACCAAAAAAAAAGGGGGGGTGGGGGGAGAGAGAGAGTCTTGGGCAGGGTGGGATAGGAAGAAAGAACTACAATTTCTGAGCTCTTTTTAGTTTTTTTTTCTTTTTTTTTTTTTAATAGACTATGGACAAAGCAGTTCTGACACAACTTTAAATGTTAAACAGGTCTAAGTAAATGAATAAATGTGCTGCTGTTATTGGGAGCCAGAGTTCTCACCGTGGAAGAAGACACAAATATGAAAAGTGGGGCTGGCCTCAGAACACAGTGATTATTAGATGCTCCACAGAGAACGCTGGATTCCACATGGCCAACAAGGGTTCCAGTCCTTGTGTTAGGGCCAGGCGCATGCTTGTGCCTAGGACCCTAACAGGATGGAGTACTGGAGGGAAAGGATTGCAATGTGACCAGATTTTCTCACTCTTTCTCTCTCTCACTTTTTAAACTTGCTATAGGGCACATGTGGCCATCAGAGAGAGAAAGTGAGAAAGCTTTCCCCAAGGGGGATGGTCAAACTATAATCCCTTCTCCATTTCTCCTCTTGGGATTTTTGGCCTGGCATATGTTCTAAGCCTCCAGGTCCAGGACTTGAACCACACAGTCAGCCATGTGGGATCCAGTCACCTTAACCAGTACACCACTGGCTGGCTCTCTCTCTCTTCCCTCTCTCTCTCTGTTTCTCTCTCACATGTGCACTCATACCTGTTAAAAAGAAATTATATATATTCTATATATAATTATAAAATCTATATATAAAATTTTATATAAAAATTATATATCTATACATAGATATAAAATTATATTAAAATTATATATATTCTGTAGATATATATTCTATATAAGTACACAGAATATATATATAGAGAGAGTATTCTCTGTGTGTGTATATATATATATATAGAGAGAGAGAGAGAGAAAAACAACACAATATGAGCATGAATTCATAATATATTTATATTTGTGTGTGCATATACATAGACACATTCATGGAAGAATGTGACTATACATACATGTATATGTACAAGGGATTTTAGAGTTCATTCAAAAAGTGGAGTTAAACTGAGCTTCTTTTGGTGCAAAAAATTTCAAAAATCCATGCATCATTTTTCATAGTATGTATTTTCCACGAACTTTTGGAAAAGTCATTGTATGTGCATGTTTGTGTGTGTGTGTATATCTGTCCTATAAAAAGACTAAGAAGCAAAAACACCCCACTAGCAAAAGCACACTCAGCGCCCAGGTTTGGGTACTAACAGCCTTCCCTGCTAAAAGGAAAAATGACTCCTCAAATAAATGACAAATTCCCAGCGACTTAAAACTCACACTGGGCTCGTGTGCATGCATGCCCAATATCCCAAGAGGAGAATGGAAGAGAAGGGATTGTGGTGTGGCCATACCCCCGGGGGGGGGATAATTTCTCACTTTCTGTCTCTCTGTCTCTGTCTCTCTAGCTAGCGCATGCACACTGTAGCAAAAATCTCTCTTAAAAAAGGAAAGAAAAAAAAGACACAACTTCTTACATAGTATTCTGATTAGTTCTGTCACAGAGAGAGAAGTTTATGATGTTCTTTGTACTCTTTTTATCCTTATATGTTTTTATAAGTTTGAAACTATTTCCAAAAATAAAGGTAAAAATGGAGCTTTACATTCTAGTGGGAAGGACAGACAGTAAACAGGTAAATAAGTAAAATACACTGCAGAGTTAACAGAATCATTGGGCTGGGGATTGCACTCTTATGTAGGGTGGCCCAGGGAAAGCCTCACAGAGGTGACTCCTGAGTGAAGACTGAAAGCAAGTAAGAGTGAGCAAGCCATCTGGACATCCAGGGAAGAACGTCCAGGCATGTCTCCAGGGACCTCCCTACTCTTCCTCTGACATGCACACGTGCATAGACACTCACATGCATGCATGCAGACACACACACTTTCACAGTTTCCTTAAAGCACTGATAGATCTGTCTTTGTTCTCATTTCAATTGTCTGCCTCCCCCACCCAGCCCCTTTCTGTAAGTACAGGGGCAATGCTCGCCATTGTTCTGCAGTGTGCAGCTCAGAGCCTGGCTCGTAGCAGGAGCTCTGTACATACGTGTAGATGCACAGGACTGCTGGTGTGACCCTATGCAGGGGTAGAATCAAGTCTGGAAACTGATCTTCTCTCACAGACCCTAGAACTCTTCCTCTTCCACTCCTAGCCATGGTCACTGACATTGGGTGAGAGAAGTTAAGGCCTTGTTAAGGCTGAAGGCCATTTCCCAGGGGCTGCACCTGGTGGGTGCTGAGTTGACCAAGCTACACTGGGATTCAAGGCTCAGATAGTGAGGAGACTGGCCTGGCCCCTGAAACCCTGCTGTAGAACCCAAGCCAGCAGGTGGCCCTGTTTCAGCTGTGCTGGGCCTGTCATCCTGGAAGTGTGAGATCTGACTCAGTGAAGGGAAGGGGTGCTTGTGGGTCTCCCCCAGTGGCATTCCTTTCCCCCCTAGGTTGCAAACCAGAGCATTCAGAGCCTGGGCCTGTCTCAATATGCAGACCGCCTGGCCGGCACGTACAGCGGGGGAAACAAACGAAAACTCTCCACGGCCATTGCCCTCCTTGGCGGTCCACCACTGGTGCTACTGGTGAGGACATGGGGACCTGCAGGTACAGGGGCCCCGAGAGCTTCCACCAAGTTCTACGGCTCTCTGGTGGGGAAACGTGTCCTGGATAGGCAGGTGTAGGAAAGGCAGCAGGCTGACTTTGCCTGGCTCACGCTGCCATTCTGAGCCCCTTCTGAGCACAGCCTCACCTGTGTTCCTGGGCTGTCTCCCCACCTCACCACCCCCCAGGATGAGCCCACGACAGGGATGGACCCCCAGGCACGCCGCATGCTGTGGAACACCATCGTAGGCATCATCCGCCAAGGCAGAGCCGTGGTCCTCACGTCTCACAGGCAAGAGATCCCCGGGACTGGGGGGCAGGACAGGGGTGGGAGTTGAAGTCCTCCCCTCACCTCCTCTCCTGCCCCACAGCATGGAAGAGTGTGAGGCGCTGTGCACCCGTCTTGCCATCATGGTGAAGGGCACCTTTCGGTGTCTGGGCACCATTCAGCACCTCAAGTACAAGTAAGACCGGGGAGGGGTAACCTTGGCTGCCTTCCGTGGGCTCCCACGGGGCCCTGCGTTCAGTTTCCAAGGAGGGTCCTGCTGCCCTCTCATCCCTCAGCAGAGGCAGGAGGTGACTGGGTCACGTTCGACCTAGCAGGGGGTGGAGGAAGCCCTTGTGCTCATGAGAAGTTCCTCTACCGTGGGCTAATTGCCTGTGGCCTCTGGAGAGGTGGATTCTGATTCAGAGCCTGGCTGGGACAAAGGAGGGCCACTGTCACCCTTTCAGTGTCTCACCAATTACTCCGACGGATCCAGGACCTGTGACCTATTTAAGAAGACTCCACAGCCAATGTGTGACTGACGGGGAGAACAGCAGCTTCAGAACCAGTGTTCCTTTCTAGCTTACCGCATGCTGTTGAGTTTGAGAAATGACCGTACGTCGTATGGCAAACCAACCATGCCAGTACTCTTCTGAGGAATTATCCTGTGCTCATAAATTATGAACGGTTGAATGTCCCCCTTTATTAGCAGCAGTTTGTGTGGCAAATACGAATATCATACTATTACCATGCTCAGCTACATGCCAGTATGCTCAGGAAAGAGCGGGTTTGTAGTTAGTGCTCATCTATCTAACAAACATGTAATGGAGCCCAGAGTATAAAAGGCACCGAGCTAGCTGGAGAGAGGACAGAGCGTAACCCACCTTATCCTGAGGTACCCGTGGGAGTGGGTGGGTGTGTGGCCCAGGAGACGTCATCCTTCCTGTGACGCAGGCAGATACATGACTGAGAGGAAGAGTAGTGGGCTCGCAGCATTTGGCAGATGGGTTTCTGACCTGGGATTTCTTACCCAGCCACAGCTTAGACATTGCGCAGATGGCAACAGGGACATCACGTGAGGTCACCAGACCTATGTCAGCAACTTCCTGTGTCCAACTGCTGGAGAAATGGGTGTTTTCATACTCCTCTGGGAGGGCTATGGAAAGCTGATTTTTCTGAAGCTGAAAGGTGAAAGGCTTCTCACTGCAGAGGGAAAGCTCTGGATCATGGAGGGAGCTTCTGTCCAACACGGTACTCCTGCTGTAGCTATGTGCAGACAGCCCCGACCATGTACTCACTGTCTGGTGGACCATCCTTCATCCATATCAGGTGACCAGCAAGCCTGGGGAGAAGAGGGAAGCACTGATGGCCCCAGTGACTTCATTTGTTTCTGGAAGCTTCCTCAGGGAGGTGCTTGCCTTCCCAGACTTTTGCTCCCACCTGGCCAGACTCGGGAAGGGCCAGTCCGCCTTTGCCACCACGAAGGCTAAAGCCAGCTTTGACTTCCGCAAGTACATCAGTCCCCCTTTATCACACAGATACTTAGACCGCTAAAAACTAGTAGTGAATGATTTCATCAAGGTTCTCCTAGTTTGAAATATGCACACATGGTCAGTGGTGTGGGCTCTTAGTCCCCAATATTTCTAATGTGTCTGCTCCTTATTTGGGGTTGCTGGGACCCCACCGCTAACAAAGGCCTATACCACACCATGTGCATCCTCTAGGTTTGGAGATGGTTACATCGTCACAATGAAAATCAAAGCCCCAAAAGGCGAACTGCTTCCGGACCTGAATCCTGTGGAGCAGTTCTTCCAGGGGAACTTCCCAGGCAGCGTGCAGCGGGAGAGGCACTACAACATGCTTCAGTTCCAGGTCTCGTCCTCCTCCCTGGCCCGGATCTTCCAGCTGCTCATCTCCCACAAGGACAGCCTACTCATCGAGGAGTACTCGGTCACACAGACCACGCTGGACCAGGCAAGGCAGCCCCAGGGCACCACGTGCAGAGCAGGGCAGGGCAGGGCCTGGGCGGGAACAGCCAGTGTGGGCTGACAGTGACACCAGCAGGAGGCAGGACGTTCACAATTTTTAACACCTTGTCCCTCTGCCATGAGGGCAAACATTGGTATCTCAGAAATTGTTTTCTAACAAGATTTTAGTCTTTCACAAGCATTGTTCTTTTTTTTTTTTGCAGCATCATCCTTCCCCACTGTGTTATGACATGTTGGTTCTTGCCAGTTTATGGTGGTGGCAATTTTTCCATTTAAAATCAGGCTTATTGATGTGTTATTTTCGTTCCACGAAACACTTCTATTTCCAGTGTACAGTGTGGTAACTTTTGATCAAAGTGTGCTCCATGTGTGGGTTTTTAATGTAATCATTTTTGTCATGGTAAAATACACATAACATAAAAGGTACTGTTTCCATCACTTCTAAATGTGCCAGTGAGGGACCTTGAGTCCATTCACACTGCTGTACAACCATCAGCACCATCCTGCTTGTCTTCCTGCTTCACGGAAACTGTCCGCTCCACACTAACTCGCCCTCCCCCTTCCTGGCCCTCCGGGCAGCCATCGCACTTCCTAACTGAGCCCAACTACTCTAGGCACCCCATATCGCTGGAATCATACAGCGTTTGTCCTTTGTGACTGGATTATTGCACTTAGCATAGCATCCTCGAGGTTTGTCTGTGGGACTGGTGTGTCAGAATTTGCTTCCTTTGAAAAGTTGAATAATACTCTATCATTTGTATGCGCTCCATTTTCCTTACCCATCCATTCATTCATCAGTGGATACTGGGGTTATTTCTCTTTCATTTTGTTTATTTATTTTTCTTTTTTCTTAATAAGTACCCTTAAAGACAGTTTAAAAAAGAAGTAGAAATAAGAAATCTCCATTTTCCCCTGGAAGATCTGGCTTCCCTGCACCTTCTTTTGAGCCGTAAGCTGGTGTGGCCACCTGCAACACCTTAAGCAGGGGTACTGTCCACATCACACACTGCATGAAGAACACAGAAGAGATCAAGTACCTTTATTTAAGAAAAAAGAAAGAAAGAAAGAAAGAAAACGTTTCTTCTTGCTGGACTCCCAACACCCCTAGCTGAGAATCTGCCTAGCCTTGGTTACCCCAACTTTCGGTGACTCAAGTCCTTTGAGTTTTTCAGCGGAGACTCCCTTGGCTTAGTTCAGGAGGCCATCTAGGGCACTGGTGGCCAGGCTTCTGTGGATGTGCCAGCGCCCCTGGGCAGAACAGAACCACACCAGCAGGGCTGTATGCATACCGTGGGAAGCAGGGCAATGTGGGCCGGCGGATGCAGGCTGCCATCTCTCTGGAAACTCCTTACTCTTGTTCTTGCCTTGCCCGCAGGTATTTGTGAACTTTGCCAAACAGCAGACGGAATCTCACGACATCCCCTTGCACCCTCGAGCTGCCGGAGCCAACAGATAGGCCAAGGTATCAAGGCTACTCTTTCACAGTCCACTGCTTGAGACAGATCCAAAGCCCAGGGCCCCGCTGGTCCACTGGGCCTGGGGTACCAAGGCCTCAGATATGTCTTGCAGAGAGCCCTACCCATAGCACTCTCCACCACATCTCCACCATGCCCTTGCCAGGGCCTTGCCCCAGCTTCGCCATCTCTCTGCTGCTCCCAGTGGTTCTGTGCTGGAGGGCTTTCCGGTCAGCAGCTGTGTGACTTCCTGTTATATCGAAGACCCCAACTGGATGGCACAGGAGAGCGTGTTTGAAAAGCACTTAACCATATTTTTTCTTACAGCAGAAAACAAACAAATAAAAAATTTGGGTTTTAGAAATAAGCAGGGAGGTAGGAGAGGATGTTTGGTTTTGGGGATCTTGTCATCTATGTCTGATCATATTTATATTTCAAAGGAAGAGAAGTCACTGGCACATGGTTTCAGTGCTGGACAGATTGGTCAGATCGAGGGTTCTTGTCTGCTGTAGAACTCTGTTCTTTTCAAAATATCTAGATATTAATGGGGCCAGCAGTTGGGGTAATGGTTATGTCGCTGGACTCCCATGTATTCAACTGCAGTTTGAGTCCTGGACCCAGTGTCTTAAACTCACACCAGGCACGTGTTCGTACATGCCCAAGAATGGAGGAGAAGAGATTGCAGTGTGGTCATCCCCCCGGGGGGTGATTTCTCGCTTTCTGTCTCTCTGTCTCTCTCTGTCTTTCTGGCGAGCACATGCACCCTATAGCAAAAAACTCTCAAAAAAATAGACAGATAGATAGATATTGGAGACAAGCAATAGAGCATTATATCCTGTGACATCTCTCAGCATAGGTGCTTACAGGCACAGTGCCCGGAAGAGGACCCATCTCATCCCAGTTTTTTGGAAAGAAAGAGTAAACTAGAGAAAGTATTAGAGGAGGCACCAGCATCGAGGGGACTGGGATCTTAAAGGGCTGAATTAACTCAGCCACTATCTCCTGATGTACCTGAAGAATAAATCAAATTAGAGCATTTTTCCAATAAACAAATGGATGCAGAACCTTATTTTCCTTAAAGGTCTCTCCCTCCCAATCAGTTTCCTGATTGCAAGAAAGAACAAATACAGATATGCCTGAAACAACCCTTTCCAAGGCAGTGCTTGTGATAAAATTTTCCTCTTTCTCTTTTCTTTTTAGAGAAATTTTTGCTGTAGAGCGTGAGTGCTCACCAGGAAGACAGAGACAGAGAGACAGAAAGTGAGAAATCACCTCCCAGTGAGGATGACCATGCAGCACACAATCCCTTCTCCGCCATTCTCCTCTCGGGATTTTGAGCGCACACGCACATGCTCCCGGTGTGAGTTTCAACCCACTGGGTATAGGACTCGAATCATGGTCAAACGTTGGAGTCCAGGGATAGACTCCCAATACGCCATCTGCTGGTCCCTCCCCTTTCTCTTGACCAGTAGAGACCTAATGGCTTTTTGTCTCCTCACTCCAAAGCCCAGAGGGACCAGAAAGGCCTAAGCAGAGGCACCTGTCCGGGAAAGGTTAGCACGGCTGGGATTTTCCAGCCACTGTTTCTCCTTTAGAGATCTGGTAGCTGCTGTTGACGTCAGTTAAAAATTCTTCCTTTAAAGCCACATGGAGGCATTACAATTTCCTACTGGGTGCTGATTCCTTTTATAAGTCAGAACACATAATTGAGTAGAAAGTGTTGGTAGAGCTACTGATGGTCTCCCCACACCCACCTGCACATTCCCCCCAAAAGGTTAATACCTGATCACTCTGGGCCAGGCCAGGGGCAAGACTCTTCTGTGATCTGCAGCACTTAATCCCAGACGTTCAACCCCTTACTGGATGTGACCTTTTTTTCCTATTTGCTTGCCACATTTTAGTATACGAATATTAGAAAACTACCACACATTTATTAAATTGGTATATTTTATATGTAATTTAATAAACATGTAGTTTATAACCTAACGGACTTTATAACACACTGTCTTTACAAAGGGTTGTAAAATAAAAAAAAAATTTCCAGTAACATTGTATTTAAATAAGCATATCATAAAACAAATAGTAACTACATTATTCATTACCTTGTACCACTTTAAAATAATTTTCCTTAAAATGTCCTACAAAGAAGAGGTAATTTCTCTCAAGAAATTCTATGGCATATTCACAACTTGCTCCTGAACAAATATGTAAGTGGCACTTCAGAAAGTTCAGCAGGTTTAGGACCAGCAGATGGCAAAATGGTTACGTCGCTGGACTCCCATGTAGTTTACCATAGTTCAAATCCCAGACTCGGCCACTTGAAACTCACGCCAGGTGCATGTGCATGCATTCGTGAGATTCTGAGAGGAGAATGGAGGAGAAGGGATTGCAGTGTGACCATCACTCCAGGGAGTGATTTCTTGCTTTCTGTCTCTCTGTCTTTCTGGTGAGTACATATGCCCTATAGCAAAAATCTCTCTTAAAAAAAAAAGAAGAAAGTTTGGCAGACTGAGTTTTCCAGCCCCAGGCTGTACACAAGGACCACACGGATATTCATTATCTAGAGATGAGTGTGTCTGATTATCAAAAAACATTATTAAATTCTTAAAGGACTTAGTCCTAGAAAATATCTTTTGGTATGAGGTTTTATGGAATCTCATAATCCATTATATTAAAACAGTTTTGGGTCAAGGCGTTGATAAATGAATAGGCAACAGACGGGTCAATTTAGGAACATCCTAACTGGTTAATAATTAAGTGGCCATCACATGTGCTTTTTAACATCAGGAAAAATGCAGATCAATGTCTGATACTTATATATTGTTAAAGAGGTTCCACATGTACTTTTTATCCTTTTCATTAGTTTCAGAAGTACCTTTTTCCTTGATTGGGTTCCTTATACCACTTCAAAGTATGTTCTTAGTCCTAAACACTACAATGTATTAATCATGTTCCTAAGAGAATGTGTGGTTTTAAAGCAGATAATTGGGTAAACCACATGTTGTCTGGACCAGACAGGCCTCTGTCCAATCCCCTCCTTGCCCATACTCTCCCACCCACACAACTGGGTATTGGTGCAAGAATTCCACCTGTACCCTATAGACAGAGACGTGTCTCTTCAGTAAGGAAGGTC